CGATTTGGCACGTTTACATACACCCTCAAAGCCCCCCCCCCCTTCCCCACCTCCTGAAATAAGGAAAACCTCAAGCATGTCCTTTCACCTAAATCTGAAAGACAGAGAATTTAAGTCGGGAGCGGATCAACACTTCAGAAAGTCACTCTACATCATCAAAACCGACCAAAATTTCGTCCATTTCTAGACGGAAGAACGTATCCTAATTCCACCAAGTGTTGATTCTATTATAATGTATGTGCCTTTTGATATGTTTTTTAATGCTCTTGTTCATAAATCTCTTTTGTATCTTTTCTTTTTTAATAATTATATGTATCTCTTCTGTTGTACTGATTCTGAGGAAACAAAAAAAAATCTTAATTCCAAGTCGCAACATTTTCTTAAACAAACCACTCCTTTACACGAAAATGACATTCGCAATGACGCTATCCCACCAAAATTTTGCCGATTTTTTTATAATAATCCTTGAAATAAACCTGTAAAATTATCCAGCTATGAGAAACAAACTCTGAGTAAAAATACACATTGTGAGTGGCAATTTTGCTACAATGAAATGTGGTTACATAGTACACTCTTTCTTCTTGGAAACGACTCTGCATTTAAAAAATGGTCAGAGAACGAGCTCAAAGACAAGGCTGGCACTGAGTTGAATAGATTATCTTATCCTTCAGTTAATTCCTCGTACAGTTTTGATATCGTCAATTGATTTCTAAGAATTAATTCCAGCAGATCATAGCGGAAAAGTTAGACTGACCGATAATGATTGTCGCATTATGGCTTCAGGAGAGGTGACAACGCGAGACAGGAGTAATGTTGGTACTCTTTAGGTAGAATGCCTTATTAGTTGACCCCTTTAAATCGAATTCCGTGTCGATTGGTCAATTGGTCATCGGTCGATTCGATTTCCTAATTGGCTGAACCTTGAATGCTCAAAAGTGTTAGAAGCTCTGGGCGCTGATGAAAAGCTCATAAATATCAATTTTTTCGAGGAATTAACTATCATCCGTGAGGATGAGGACAGGGCCGGATTTACCTACTTGCCGCCCGTGGGCCGCCTGTATTTTGCCGCCCCCTTCTCATTCGTTTCGAAACACCAATAAAAACCATCAAATGTACGTGCCAGCGGGGAGGGATGCATAAGACGCGTCTACTCGTGTTGGACAAATTTTTGGCGAAAGCCCTGTCAACACTACCAGCGAAAGTTCACGGAACTCTGTGCGAAAGTTAAGTTTCGTAAACCTATCTCTGGGTGGACAAGGCTTTCCATTCATAAGAAATGAACGAAAAAATTACGAAAAAACAAACATAAATGTGGATTAATGATTTTAACTTCCGCCGCCGCGCTGACCGCACCGTGTTTGGCGCAATGCTTGAAGTATTCCGACAGTCTTGTAGGCGCTGTGAGTTTCACGCTGACCGCTGCTGAACGCACTGTGTCTGCCGCAATGCGTGAAGTTTTCACGCAGTCTTGAAGGCGCTATCCGTTTTACGCTGACCGCAATGACCGCACTCCGTTTGATGCAATGCGTGAAGTATTCGTGCAGTCTTGTAGGCGCTAATATATCGACGGTGAAACTACCAAACCACGTATCTCGTTTGCGGTGTTTAAAAATCTACGCTCGCATTTTATTTTTTTGAAGTAGACCAAATCAATATCATTCCTTGAAATTTTCACAGAATTTTCTCCGCACGAAGAGGAAAAATCACAGAAATTTTCAAGACTGGACGTTAAGTAGTTTTTCATTTAAAAAATAAAGTATGACAGGAAGTCTGCGACGTCGGAAACCGAGATACGTGGTTTGGTAGTTTCACCGTCGATATGTTACTTGCCGATCGCCGCGCCAAGGGCTTCTCCTTCTCATCTCAAGTCCCCGTCATCATTTCTCTCAAGTCGCGCCGTTCCGGACCAAATTGCGTGTTTTAACTATTTGGTTTCTCTCTTAACTTGAATAATTAAAGGTGCTGTCTCTTGTATCTCTGAAAGACGGCAAAAATAGAAATTATTATACTCTCAGGAAATGAGAGATTTTGTCGCCTTCTTATCTCTCGTTTGTAATTTTTTTTTCTAATTCCTTTTTTTTATATCTACCTTTAAAAAAATTGCAAAATTTGCCGCCCCCCTATAGATTTGCCCTCATGGGCCGCGGCCCATGTGGCCACCCCCTTAATCCGACCCTGGATGAGGAAGCAATGATCGCTACTAATACAGAGATATTTTTTGGAGATTATAATTGTATTGTTCGTTGTCGCTGTATATTAAAAATCCTCAAGAGCCTCTAGAAAAGTTGACCAGATGAATTAATTAAAATTTGGCTGGAATGAAACCGCGCAATAATAATGATTTGACCGTGTTTAATGGAAAGGAACTAAGTCTTCGGTAGCGAGGCGTGAATGATCGATTGTTGATATTCTCCATTAGGAGCTGTGGTACAGAATCGATTATTGAGAAGTTCGTTGCGAAAAATCTGTCTGTCGCTCCTTTTCCATAGATTTAAATGGAAAATCAATCGATACATCGTAAAGCACGCCACGCCATTTTAAGTCTTATCAAAATCGAATCAAGAAAAATAGGTTTGAAGCTGTATTCATCAATACACGAAATAAAAAGAATCGTTACTCTCACCATGCTCATAGATGATGTCCACTCTTACCCACTTATTCATGTCAGAGATAGAGTTCAACGCCCCAAAATGTTTTTCGACCATGAATTTTTGACAGGAGAATAGATGTGAGTGAGTAAACACAAAACTACTCCTGAATCATAATTTCCCTCAAAATATGACTTGTCTCTTTCTAAATAGTTTAATCCAATTGTTCTTCAGCTTAAAATTCGTTTTGGCAATGCAGCTATAAAAAGTTTACATTTTTAGCACGTATACAAATATACTATGATCTTAATTTAGCAGTAAAATTAAGCGGATGTTTAGAAGAAGGGTACACAGTACACCCTTTTTCAACCCCCAAGTTTTTAGAAATTGAGTTTCCAACGGAATACTATTCTTTGAGGATGAGCGAATTTTGCTACCGAGTGATTCTGTATCAAATTTACTCTTTAAACATCTTTTTTGAACATTACGTTTTAGTGAAAAAAGGCATAATTCCCGAGCCGAGCAGCTTGGAGCATTTCGTTGGTTTCAGTTATAATCGCACATTATGGATCATTGCGCTAGCGTTCATTCTCACTAATTCGCCTTCAATGAGGTACGGTAGGCAATGTGAGCGGTTCAGGAGCAGTAATAGTTGCTTGCAATAGTTGGAGTTTTTCATCGGTTTTAATTGAACAGGCTATTTGAGGAAGGGTGTAATCGCCAGATTTTCAGAGGTTGAGTTTTCGACGAAATATTCTTTGAGGCTGGACGCATTACTACTGCGAGCGATTCCATTAAAATTTCTCTGTAAGTATCCTCTGTACACCTCTCTCACCGCAGGGTGCTCGCGCTCTCATAATAAAAACCACGATTAAAGGCACAACCCATGATTTTTACCTAATACTTCTTTCATCGAATACGCATGCTACTTGACGGTTATAATACTTCCAAAAATGGCAGCGCGGAGCGGTCCTGTGGAAGCAATGCGTATCCACATCAAAATTTTAATTTTTTTTAATTTCTCGCTCAATTTTTCCGATTCTCCTCGTTTGACTGTGGTCTTATTATAGATGGTATGGAGAACATTGGTTAATATTTTTGAGCAGAAATAAGAAGGATTGTCGAAAATATTAAGTTTTTTCATTTCTTCTGGAAACTTGACTTTTGGCAGTCACACCTTCAAATAAGCCGTTCAATTGTGACCGACAGTGTTTCAGCAAAACTGTTTTTGAACTTGAGCTGAAACTTTTTACAGAGGCTTTGATTCATCATAAGGTTAGCCAAATGTCGATAAAACTCTTCACAGTGAAAAAAGAATATTTAGTTCTTGCTTAAATAATTAGAATATAAATACCTTTCCTCCCCCAAAAAAGATTGGGGCCGTGTCTATGACGCGTTCACAGAGAGTTGGCTGGATATATTTCTTGGAATTCGCTTAAATATCAATAAAAAAAGAATTTATTACATATATTTCGGGAGCTTAATTTATTGAATTCACGGAGTTTCCGAATAAACAGTGGATATGTAGTTTGAACACCTGAAAATACTAGTGTGAGAGAGTAAAAAAGGGTCAAAAAAATATGAATATGTGACATTTGAGTCTCTTCATCTACATGGGATTTAATTTACATTTTCATCGAGAACAGAAAATTTGAAGCCAATGACAATGAATAGAAACCCCTTTTTTGAAGGATTTTGAACCTCCTTCCCTCACCTGTACCAAATTTTCGCAGAGAGATCATATCTTCTTTCAACAAAAACCATACAGAAAGCTGACAAAAAATTCTGATTATGTCAGTTTCTGGAGATGCTAGCCGAACTGATAAAAAATAATAGCCCCCTCTCGCTTCTTTGAATTCTGTATGCGGCTTTGAAAAAATTTATTTTTCTTGATCAACCCTTCATCGCATTTAATGTCACAATTGAGTAACCATTATCATCAATGTGATATAGGCCGTTATAACACAAACAGCTTCGGCTAATAAATCTATAAAAAACTGAGAGGAGGCAAAAGTAATCTCAACAGTCTTGTTTCTAATTAGATTATTAGACGTGATGTGGGTGAAATCGTTTTCTTCTTCCTCTTCTTCTTTTCCCCTCACATCAGGTGACAATCAAACGGCTGATGGTTAGTACAGCAGAGGGACAAAGACGATGCATTTATACGCTATAAAATGGGCGCGAAATGCATCGGAGATTACGTGAGTATACGGGGTGATGATTGCGAATTCATACTGCGGACAAGTTGGCGAGATCATTGTCATTTCGCCTGTGTGCGTTCAGTTGGGCTCTGCAGCTAGCCCTGTCCGCTTGAACTTATAGTAGATCACTGTTTTGCTTAACCCACATTTCTTACAGTACTTCTGTGATTTTCAATTCAATATTGATCCTCGCGTAGATTACATGTACTTCGTTCTTCGACTAAATCTATGATTTAGTGGTCGTGTATACAGGGTCCTCAGTGAGCAGACTTTTTCTTCGCTTGTGCTTAGTTGTTTTTGCGACTCTTAGGAGTAAACTCCAAACGTGCTGTTTGACCTAAAATTTCTCTACATGTGAACGATTGGAATATATGCGGATTGTTTTGCATATTGTGAATCACTCGGGTTTTCCCACCGGTTTTACAGCGGCGTGATTTGTGTCTAAGTGTGAACCAGGATTGACAATTTTAATCAACTTGTTGAATTCGTCAACAAAGTGATACAGCTCGAACAATCGAGGTGAATTTATTTTTCTTTCTTTGTCAGTTTTGAAAATCCATTACTTTCGGATTCAAGCAATGGATTATTACGTCCCTCCAATTTTATGTCTGTTTCTTTTTCACACGAAACTCTACCCACCCAGTATAAGATTGAAAGAGAAACCCGAAGCTTAAAGGAAGAACCACTATGTTTTTGTTTGAGGCCGCCATGGAAATCATATCCTCCTTCAAATCAGAAAACTAAAGATTGAAATGATGTATTGAGAATGAAAAAATTGATCCTGGGAATCATTCTAACGTGCGATTAGTGAAAGTCAGGTTCACATCTACATATCTTATTTATCTTTTTTTTTTTACGCTACTTCTCCCTTCTTAGTTTTATTTTCTCTTGTTCTTTAGTATTTTTCCCCACAAAATGAATTTCGTAAGAAAAGTAGACGCAGATTTTCCAATTCGGCATCAGAGAATCTTACAAGGCTAAAGTGGGTGGCGAATCAAAAAACCGAGGCTGAGATGTATAAAATACCTGCATAGGTGTGCACACTGCCCTGTGTTGACTTTTGTTACGTAATGGTTTTTTTATGGGTTAAAAATTACGTAAGTCATTGAAAACCTTTCACTTGATTCCCACATTAAATTAATTTGACTTGCTCAGCTCTAGTGTGAAAAAACTGCGATGTAACGAAAAAAAACTAGTTCAGTGTCAATTTATTTACGGATGATAAAGTGATGACTTGAAACACGAGAGGACAATAAGCTTGTTTTTAATGCTGCATTCTCGCCTAGTTCCGGTATGTTTTGCCTCACCTAGCCGGCTTTGCGGTACTTACTCTGTGAGCGACGTCAATTTAACTATTCATCAAAGAATTTTTAAAGTGAAGAAATAATAGGAACAATGCGTCTCTAATGAACAATTTTATGCTAAAAGGGATGATATAAAATTAAATTAATTCATAACGAGTTACGTGCATAATATTTGAGTGCAGTATAGTTCCTTTTCATTATACATATTCATTTTCCTTGAGTCCGCATCGTAGCAGTTGGACTGCATTTTGCAATTTGGACCTATAGATTCCGGCTCATCTGAAAAAACACTTGTGTGCATAGGAAAACTAATGGAACATACGTTGTTTTTAAACAACTTGTAAACAACGTTGTTTTAACTTCTTCCGGGCCGGAATTTATAGGTCCAAATTGCAAAATGGAGTCCAATTATAAGTGCGTCCTAATGAGAGTCATCTGTATTAAAATGAACGATGTGTTGCGTGCTCAGAGGCGTGATTCTGATTCGTTAGCTAATTTATTTTTACCACCTGTAGGAAAGGTCTTTGTGCCTAATCCACCAAGAAAGGGCCACTTGGAGCTATAGGGCTCTTTATTTATATGGAGTCTGAATCCGTGTCATGGGGAGGCTCACAGCTAATGTGATGCAAGTTCATAGCGATATCGCTGGGATTGCACATGCTAAGATTTTATTTTACTTTTTTCACAGATGAACAAAGTGATTATTAAATATATCCCGGCCAGAAAAGGGAAAAGGAAAAAAAGTACAGATCCTTGAAATATATTTCAAATAATGAATAATAATATACTCGACTAATTTGAAAGATGTAAACATCATTTTGCACAATTTTTGCAATGATAAAATGTGTCCTTGCATTGTCGCATTGGTATTAACGTGAACAAGCTACATTTTGCAATTAGGAACTACAATTTCTCGCCCATCCGCAAAAAACACTCATCTGCATAGGGAAACCACAAGTGCATACGCAGTTTCTAAACTGAGCCAGATATTGTAGTTCCTGATTGCAAAATGCATTCAATTTAATCTCTAGTATCAACTACGTTACAAACAGCTAATATCTTTTCAAAAATACACTGGACTGTAATGAACTGACCAATTGAAGCATCCAAATAATCCATTTATTTATTCATTATTATTTGAAAAGGCACAGGACTGAAAATCTCAGTCAATAATTAGGTTTTTCCAGTCTTATTCTCCTCACGGACTATTGAAAATCGATTGAAATTCTTCTTGAAAGCCCTACTTTCAATCACAAAAATTCCATGGATCTACGAAAAAAAAAATCAATGGTGCGAATCAATCTGTGCCACGGCTTGAAAAACGAGTTCTGCGTGAGGAAACTATGGAAGAATGACTATGTTAACTCGTAAGTGAGCGGGCAGCGTGTGGACTGGACTGGAATACTGGTTAATGAAATACTGAAGTCGCGTGTCGCGTCACTACGATGAGGTAATGATAGACGTGGCGGTCGTGGTCAAATTGATATTCTTCAATTACCTCGGAGGCGATTCAGCCGTAAAATAGCGAGTTGCTATTTTCCACTTGCCAACCTCGCTTAATTCAATCATACGTGACGAATTTCGATGACATCGCAAAATTCATGGGTCGCCCAAGTATAGGTAGAAAGGCTAAAAATTTAAACATAGGCGGATCCGAGGGGTGCTTAGTTCGCTCGAAAAAAAAAGAGGGACATGAGGGGGAGAAAGAAAGATGAAAGGAACGGAGGAGAGAAGAGTAAAGGACGCTTATATTTGTTAATTATTCATGATGAATATGACTCAAACTGCGTATAAAATACTTTAAAAATTTCGACAATTTTCTGGGGGAAGCTCCCCGGCCCCCTTTGCCCCCCAGACCAGTCTTCTCCCGGTTTGAAGTGTCTGGATCTACCTATATTTTGAAATCTTAATGGCCAAAAAGTAGTGAATTTTTGCATCGATCTTTATCAAAGCTTACTCAAAGGAAGTGACTCATCTATTCTCTGTGAAATAAAATTGATTAAATTTTTATGAAATTACTCTTGAAGTATTCCTGTCAAAAAAAGGGATCGAGAATATACAGGAGAGCCACATTGACCTTGTCTATCTCTTCAGCGATCGAGCACTGAGAAAAAAATCTCGGTGTATTTACTAAGAAAAGGGTAAAATTACCAAGAATTCAGGGTTCTAATTGATCTCAGTTTTTTCTTGGTTAAATTACCATTTATGGAATTGGTCATATTACCGAGAAATCTCGATAAAATTATTGAACTTTACTCTCGGTAATTTTACTAGACCTTGGTAAAAACGCCAATATTTTTTATCGACTGTGGTAGAATTACCGAGATAAAATGGCATAAAGTTACCGGGAATTGATTACCAATAAAACTGGTATTTTTACCTGAAAAAAACAGTAAAAATACCGGTTTTTAGGTAAGCCTACCAGTCTGTCGTGGTAAAATTACCAATAAGTTGTTAAAAAAGTGAGATGGTAAAGGTGCAAACGGACCGTAGTAAAAACGCCGAGAATTTTTTTCAGTGAACCCTTAGAATCTATGTGAATACTGAACTTGGTTGCATATGTTTCAGGCGGCGACAGAGGCTGAAAATCCGATGGGGTCACAGACGGACCCATGACCGTCATGCCCTCCAGGATCCGACTCAGCCGGAATATTTGAAGCAAGATGGCGCAAGGGGCTGGAACTGAAGAAACATGCAAACGTGAGGAAAACCACGAGTTGGAACACTTCATCGACAAACAGGGACTCGAGAGCTTCGAGGATTTTTACGGAAGGTTCGAGCTTACGGAAGACGCGACTTGTGGCTTCGGGTGCATTAAGGGCGAGTTCCTTCAAAAATGCGCCAACAAAAAGACGTTCGCTATCCTCTACGGCTTCTTCAGCTGCATTTTCGCGGCATCTTTCTTGTACTTCAACGCCACCATTTCGACCATCGAAAAACGCTTCAAAATACCTAGTCGACAAACTGGTAAGTTCAGCCTCATGTCACAAAAAGGATGTGTCCCATTAAGGAGGATATTTTGGCCCTAACTTTGGTCGAATATTGAAACAGCTTAGAATAATGTCATGCATGGTCAAATCAACTCTTAATCATCTGACCTGTGAGAACTTGTCCTTATTTGAGGTGTTTTTGAAATGTTTTTGCCTGATTTACCAGTGCAAAGTAGTGAAGTTTTCAGTTTTCTCGAATAATTGCTCATTTTCGGTCTTAAATTATATTGTTTATGTATGAGCACAAGCGACTACCACTTTCATATTCGAATATGTTAATCTTTAGTACACCCATTACAACATACTTAAAGGAGAAGGTGGTAGTCGCTTGTGCTCATATATAAACAATCTAATTTAGGACCGAAAATGAGCAATTATTTGAGAAAACTGCAAAACTTCACTACTTTGGGCTGGTAAATCAGACGAAAACATTTCAAAAACACCTCAAATAAAGACAATTTCTCACAGGATAGATGATTAAGAGTCGATTTGACCGTACATGACATTATTCTAAGCTGTTTCAATTTTCGACCAAAGTTAGGGCCAAAATACCCTCCTTAATGGGACACATCCTTTATTGCCAAAATGTGCACAAAAAATGTTTCAGAGCTCACAGAAAGTTTCTGTACACGTATCTGCTGTAATTTAGCAGTTCATAAACTTCCATTATGTTATTCTTGCAGCTTTTTTTATACCCTTTTGCTCCCTTTCCGAGTGACATTGGCGAGGCGTGATCGATTATCGATATTTCCCCATTTGAGGCTGTAGTAAAGAATCGATTATTAAGGTGTTCGTTGCGAAGACCCTGTTTATCGATCTTTTTCCATTGGTTTAAATGGCAGATCGATCGATGCATCGCAAAGCACGCCACGCCACTGCCGATTGAAGGAAGTGCACCGCCCTCCTTAAAAGATTACAAATAAATAAGTACATAAAAATGAAAAAAAAGGCGAGATAATATTTTTATTATTTTGCAAGAGTTTTCGTGTTACATCTTGACGTTAGAAGACGGGAGGATGGATTAAGGAGCGAGGGGACAAAACAAAACTTTGATCTGGTACGGCCAGATGACGTTCTTGCCGCCAGCGGAAATTTTCGATGTGATCCATGTCTCTTCTAAAATTTTGCGAGAAAGCAGACGACGATGGCACTGTTTTTTCTGGCAATCAACTCTCAAGCTCAAAAATAGCTCTTAAAGTTGAGGCCGTAATGAAGGATCACTCCAACCCTTCATTCAGTCAAATCCTCCTTGCTCGAATACAGCTATAAATTAAACTATAAACAGCCATGTTTATAAATGCATAAACATGGTTGCCAAGGCTGCAGGCTAAATAATGGTCTCTTCGACACTTGAAGCCCCAAAGTAAAGTGAAATCATAGAAATTCCCCAAAAACAAAACAATAACCCTACACGACCCCCCCCCCCAAAAAAAAAAAACGGGGCACTTAGAGTTTGATTAGTTATGAAGGTAGACCAGAGGCTTGGCGTGCTTTGCGATATATGGATTGATCTGCCATTTAAATCTGTGGAAAAGGATCCTTTATCAAGGTGTTCGCAACGAACACCTTAATAATCGATTCTTTACTACAGCTACAAATGGAGAAATGTCGATAATCGATCATTCACGCCACGCCACTGAGGTAGACGCGCTGACTAGGTCGGCGCACAACTTTGTGAGCTTTCTCATAAAGAATCTCGAAAAATTTTAAGATCAAATGGACGCCATGCATTGGTTCCTTGCCGCTTAACGCGGTGCAAAATATTCGATAAAATCGAAAATTCTTGCATGCATGCAAAATGTCCGATTAAATATCAAAGTTAGGCGAGCCTTTTGCATTGAATTCTCGAATCTAGATTCTCTTTTCAAGTAAAATCCAGAACGTTTGAAAGCGGTGAGAAACACGCCAAAACGTATTTAATCCTAAAAATCTAATTTTACGGCATACTCTCGAGATGTAATGTTGACCAAGAGTTTTTCACACTTTACCCTTAAAATTTAGTTTTTGTTTAAAATTGATCCTAGGGTGGGTTTGGCTGATCTCTTAAGCTTGAATTTATACAGCTTAGTAAATCATAGGTAAAAGCAAGTTTCAAGCTGTTCTTTGTGATCCAGACAGTGCGTTATATATGAGGTATGTCATTTTGGACAAAATTCAGGGAGATTGCATCCCTCCATCCAGTCCGTTCATCCCTTGCCATAATTGGATCCAAAAAGATTCTATCTTGTAGATGAGGGACACCTGACAATTATAGCACTGAAGTCTAACCGTCTCGCGAACTCAAGTACGATCACACGACCTCCACATACTTACTGCGTATACTAATCAGGGTTCAATGTGGTTTAATATTCACGGTCTCTCTCACCCAACAGATAGGTATGCGATACTGTCTCCTCTCTGCTATACTACTTACAATGTCCTCCTGTATCTGTATTCTAAGCTCGTAGCAAAATCAGCTGATGTAATTGTTTCCGGAGACTCAAGCTGAAAGTACTCAAATACTGAGCGAATAAGCAATAAAAACTTTGTATCATTTCGTGACAAATTGATAAATTAAAGGGTAGATTTATTAAACTCATCGCAAAAATGTCTGCATGTTCATTACTGGCGTTTGATATGCAAGATTTGTCTTTATCTTCCCTTCCTATTTTGATTTCTTATCACTCACTCTACTCTGGTTTAATTTAAAATAATTGGATTTTTCCCCTTCCAAAATGTTCGTCGAACTCTTTTACGAGCTCGGGTACGAATAACTTGATTCTGAGTTTTGTTTGAATGAAGGTACCTTTTTTGTGGGCGATCATACAATAAAGAATTTGCAGGTGTCTGAGGTTTTGTGAATCTCATGCTTAAGTGGAAACTGCCGATTGAGCTGAACACGAGGATACCCTTGGTTCATAAATTGAAAAGTTATTGGAAGAGATACGAAAGAATTATCTGATCTGCTCAAAACCGTGTGTTTAAATGGGAAATACTGCCAAATGACGTAACAGTGCGGTAAAAATTCTCACTTTACCAATATCGATAAAATTATAAAAAATTCTGCGAAATCGGCTCTTTAATTGATTCAGTGAGAACGAAAACACACCAACTCGAAAAAATGAAAATAATCAAGACACACACAAAACTGCATATTAGGTGAAGAAGTTAGTCTGAGAAAAATATTTTTGGTGCCTAAAAGTAAGTACTTAAGGAAACTTTAAGTGTCCAAGTCGGAACAGATACGGTAACTTCAATGACCTTTATGGAAATCGTCTGTCTTTAGTGAAAAGTAAATATTTTCGAGTTACCGCGTTGGTATGTGTTTTCATTCTCACTGATTTAATTACTCTCAAATGAAACAAACAAAAATGTGCTTGCAAATTCTTCATTCAATTTATATATTTTTTGGTCCTTGTGTCCGTGCAAGCTGAATTTTTCTGAAGAAAAAGTGCACCCAAGGACTTTTTACGACGAAACAGCTACAGCATCCACGATTCTAAAAATTATAATTTAAGTAAGCTTGGCACATACTTTGCCGGCGAAAGCAAATTGCACTAGGTTTGCGGTCGCGCGGTCTTGCCTGTGCCTCTGTGCTTTCTGGATTGCTGAGCACATTCCAGAGGCTGCAGAGGGTACCACGGACCCCTCCTATTTAAATATCACAGCTGTAACTCAGGTGTAATTTAAAATCCCGTTTCTTCGGATCTCTTGCAGAAATTATCGCGTCCTCTGCTGAAATAGTAAATTGAGGCCTGTAAAGGACTCAATGACCACCGTTGACATTTCATTTCCTGAGATTGGAGTACCTACGTAAATAAGAACAATTCGTCATTCATTAGATGAAGGATTGTGACCCCGTTTCACGGTTGCAAAATTGACAATACGAATACTTTGTCATAAAATTACGAAAGTGCAATTTCTGACGGAAATGGAGATGTTGCATGTGAGAGGAATTTGCGATTTGACATGGACGCCAGCCTTTGGGGGGCGCCACGAAAGAAGAAGAGAGGGGAAAAAAGGGGGGAAAAGGAAAAGGGAAAAAAAGGAAGAAAGGACAAGGGGAAAAAAGGAAAAGGAAACAAGGTTGGGCAGTGAAAGCAAGGAAGAAGGGGGGAAATGGAAGGAAAAAGGAGGCAAGAAAAGTTAAAAGAGATTCCGCGAGAAAGGGGGGGGGGCATAAAAACCATAGACAAAATATAAAGAGAATTTCCGTCTAAAGGTAAATTTTCAGGACAAAAACTCAACCTGGTCCATAGACGCCCCTTGACCCTAAATTTGCGGCTGTACAGAAATACAAGAGTAGGCATGTAGTAAGGGGGCGCCATAAATCCATCGAACAGGAGCCGACATAGCATTTTAGGCCACGTCCGCCATCTTGGATTTGAGAATTTTTAAACATAGTAAAAATTCGAGTTTCCGATCGAAAAATACCATCAGACACCGAGTTTAAAAAAAATCCATCGAACAGCAGCCGACATAGCTTTTTAGGCCACGTCCGCCATCTTGGATTTGAGAATTTTCAAAAATCGACTAAAAATTCGAGTTTCCCGTCGAAAAGTACCCCTGATCCCGCGGTTCACAAAACTCTAACGAACAGAAACGGAGGCCAGAACCGGGGCTCATTTTAGGCCACATCCAACATTTTGGAGTTGAGAATTTTAAAAAATTGACTAAAGATTCGAGTTTTCCGTTGAAAAATACCTCCTTACACCGAATTTCAGAAAAATCCATTGAACAGAGGCCGAGATAGCATTTTAAGCCATTTCGGATTTTCGAATTTTGAATTTTTTGAATTTTGATAGATTTTGATTTTAAACGCGTGGTCCAGATCTGCATGACATCAGAGGAGAATGCAATAGTGAATTTCCAGCGAAAAATACACTTAACTTGATTTTGATGGGTACACACTTACACAGTCACTGGATGCAATGCGGATGTATGTTTTTTATTTATGAAAAAAAGGCTCCCTCTTATCGCAGCTCATTTACATTACTGTCATCAAAACTGTATTATTGCTCAAAAATGTATTGCTCTAATTTTGTCCTCTCTTTTGCAGGCATGATTTCGTCTGGGAATGACATTTGCCAATTTTTCGCATCGATTCTCATTAGTTACTACGCAGGCAAGGGTCACAGGCCACGGTGGCTGGCGGTTAGTTCCCTGATGTTGGCCTTGTTTTGTATCACTAATAGCTTGCCATATTTTATTTTTGGGCCCGGCGACGATGCCAAATCCGTGACGAAGGAGTATGGCTCAATTAGTTCCTTTAATTTTAGTTTGGATAAAGGTAATGTATGCAAGTTCCGTTGTACATCTGACAAAATAACTCCAAGATTTAATTCAATACATTTAAATTTCTCAACTTACGGCTATTTGACGACATAAAACTACTAAATCGATGAAAAGTCATCTAAACGTCATGACCAGAAAAAGAGAGGGAGAGAGAGATAAATAAAACAAGAGCATGGACGGGAGTGGGGGGCCTGGGGGCCAGTCCCCCACATTTCTGCTTGGCCCCCTCCAAAAAATATCAAGGGCCCAATCTACTAATTAATTCTGAGTTGAAAGGCACCTGTAGTTGGGGTTCTGGGTGGGTGGGGTGGGAATGTAATGAATATGAGCTTAATTCTGATACACCTAATCAACCAAATATATCGGAAGATGAAAAAAAAGTCAGCGAAATTTCTGGCACCTGTAATATTTAATTCTATTCTATTTGTCATTGAGGATGGCTTAAAATTGCTCTTGAGACGTTCCAATTTTCCAAAATTTTTCCGGGAGAGCCCCCCTCAGACCCTCCTTAGTCCAAGTTCTATATCTTCCTGTGGGTTAATTAAATTCATGGGCAAAACACAGGTTTTGAATGAAAAATACGGTTTTGAATCAATCAATATCATGTTTCACTTTCAACGTGTATTTGTTTTTTCAAGACAGTACGTTATGTCAATCAAAAATCGGCGAATGCGACGGAGAGGGAAGCATCTGGCCGCAGTTAATTTTGTTTGGTGCACAACTAATAGCTGGCTTAAGTGGCTCCCTTTATCACACCCTGGGAATATCCTACGCTGATGACAATGTCCAGAAATCAAAATCTCCCGCTTTTCTTTGTAAGTAAATATATAACTCTTTTAGTACCAATGTTGTCTGTCTGAATTTTGGATCATGGTGCGGAACAGAAAATTATGCTGTACAACTTCGATCAAAAATTTAACTTTTTGAGCCCTTTCTGTTATAAACGCTTCTGATCCCTCACCTCGAGTTGGAGAGGGTGCGCAGGAGGATTTCCCTCCAGACGCAACCAGATTCATATTTTGATATAGCTTTAAAGCACAGACAACAATAGATCCAAGTCCAAGTATTTAACTGATAACATCCATCATAATTGTAAAAATGTAACTTTTACCTGCTTCCTGTAGAGGAAAAAACTCATGCTTTATTTTTTATCCGTTTTAAGAGAACGCTTAATTATCAAGACACGATTGTCATCGATTAGATGCAGCACGATGGCGCGTTGGCGCAGCTGCAGTTAGCTTGCGCTGCGCTATGAGCGGAAAGAAAGCTAGTGCCCCTTCATTCCTTTGCATGCATCACGCACATCCATCGAGTACGAATAGTTGTATTCAATCGTTGTTGCAGGAGTTAGATCCATGTTGTAGTTTGTCAAGATTCTAACTAAATGCTACTTTCAGTCTCCGTCTCTTGCAAATGACAATTAAATCACTACAGCGAGTTTTTCCGTGGAAATAAAAAATTCGATACCTCGCTCTATATCGTTGGAAATTTTTTCCTTGTGGACCGAGATTGTCTTGCCAAGGACGCGGGAACATGCGTATTTTCTATTTGCGTATCATTTCTTTCTCTCATGGACTCAATTTTGTTTCAGGTCTTTCTTTATTCTTTCGGATGCTAGGACCTGCTGTTGGATTTGGGTTAGCTTCTTTCAGTCTAAAAATTTTCGTTTCTCCAAGCCTCCATCCGATTATCGACGAGGGAAGTCCTCGGTGGCTTGGTGCCTGGTGGATAGGTAATTAACTTTAATATACTTGCACCAATGGCGGTATTTTTTTAGAATAAAAAAAGAGCTCATTGCCCATTAGAACAAATTCAAATATTCCGTCAGTATTGAAAAATCGAATTGAAATTTTTTCTAGGTCTTTTAATGTATCGAGGCTTTTATTCGAGACTTAAATTCATATGTATACAAATATTTGCTTGGCCAAAACTTGAGCACAGGCTTACTATTTAAATGCAATTTTATTTTCAGTGTTTTTTTTTGTTGTTTTTTTTGTGATTACGATAGAAATTTAGTTGAATATATGGTGAAAACAGTTGGGAGGTAATAAATTTTTCATCATTTTAGTTAACATAATATCANGATTGACAGAGGAGTGGGGAACGGTCAGACGTAGGGGAAAGGTTCAGGCTGAACCGTTCAGCACAGCGCAGCGTCAGTCACCGGGTGGGGAAGAGAGTCCGGGAGGGGACACTTCCCCTCGAGTGAAATAGAAAAAGGCAGAATCCTTCGAAGTTTATATTAATGATATGGTGAAAACAGTTGGGAGGTAATAAATTTTTCATCATTTTAGTTAACATAATATCACGAAAATTAAGGGATTAATCTGTTCACATGAAGATTCAACTGTTAATTATCTATTTAGAACAGCTTGCTTACCTTCTATACCTATAAATTTATAAAAAAAAAAGTACCTGTCCTGTTTCCTTGTCCAGAACATCTATCTCTCTCCTGCCGTTTTTCCTCTGATTTTAGATATTTGTTCAGAATCAATTTTTTTGAATGGTAGTTCTATTCTGCCGTGCTGAGGAAAATTGCCGTAGGAGCATTCGAATGTTGCCAAATTGCCTCTCAGGAAACTTTTATTTTTGAAGAACTTAATGATAATTTTTCTTTGACATTTTCAGGCACTTTAGATCAAATTAGGAGCGAATCCCTCCGAAAAATTCGCAAAAAATATTTACAAATTTTCCCGAAAATTCTGGATTCATCGAAGGGACTTTTTTTTTCTTCTTCAAAATTCGTTTATATAAAGTACAGTAGGAGTTCGCATGTGTTTGTATGAGTAGTTTCTGATGTACAGTTCCTTTCGTAGGATGGTTGGTGCTTGCTGCAATACACGTGGTAACGGCATGTCTCTTGGGACTTTACCCAAAGCATTTACCGCGCGCCCTGGCCAGAAAACATTACAACAAACGTCGCGCATATCTGCATGAAAAATCCTCCGAACACACAAGAGCTTCCTTTCAAGGTAAGAGGTAATAGCAACGCTGCATTCATCTTTGCTCTTCCTCCTGTTTTTAATTATACTTAACGTTTGCAATTGCATATAATTATGTATGAAACTTTGACCACGCGCAATGCATCCTCGAAGAAGTCACTTGACAGAATTTCAGCCCCTGACAAGTCGAACGCGTCTTGCGTTGCGACTGATCGGATAACTGTAATCCAAAAACTGTTATCCAAAATCTTAGTATTCATAGGTTAGAAAAATGTCACATCTCAATCGATCTGAATATCCGAAATCTCTTGATCGATGAACCAACGGGTCAGGCGTACGGTTCCTATTTGAGAAATTACTTGACACGACATTTTACTAACTAGATCATCAATTAAAAAATATTGCGGTGATGACAAGTTAGAATGGCGAAAAGCAGCTTATACCCTCTGGATTTTATTATGTCTAACACACGGTCTATACGTGTATTGTTCATACCTTCAATGCTGATTTTCTTAATTTCCATTATTTTTACCTATCTAGACTTGGTTCAAACAGTCAAGCGGCTGATGGTTAATCCTATTCAAGTTCTGAACAATTTATCCGGAGTGTTTTACTACATGGCATTACTTCCTTACATGATGTTCCTACCCAAATACCTGGAAACAGTTTTCACGTTCACACCTTCGAAAACCAGTAAAATAACAGGTAACTCTCTTAAAAATTACGCTCGCAATTTGCTCTGTGCCTTGAAAAGTCACATTGTCACTTCGACAAAAAATGTCCCTATATGAATCGGTTATGCAACTTTATGTGTGCAAACTAAATGTGCTGCCTTCGTAAATTTCGTGGAGTCTCGTGGTCTATACACCCCGGAATGACTTTATGGGTTAGGAATTTTGACTGTTTACAGAGAGCAATTTTGTAAACTTCAACAGTTCAACTTCTGCGCAGCTGAAACATGATCCTTAAAAATCCTACGAACAGCATTTTTCATTTGATCTCATGGAGATGGGGATTGAGGCCCACGCTCGAAGTACAAGCAATAAGTAAAATATTTAAAGACGTCAAAGTTGAAATAATTGTCAAACAGATGTCAAATATGATAATTGGACTACATTTTGCAATTCGGATCTACAATTTCTGGCTCAGTTTAGAAATAACGTGTGTGCCATTGATAACCCTATAAATACAAATGTTTTTACGGATGAGCTAGAAATTGTAGTTTCTGATTGCAAAGTGAAGTACAATTATTGCTCTTACAATAGACATAATTTATTTAAAAATTTTTAAATGTTCATATAATTTACATAATAAACCGCTAATACGCACTTACATCTCTGCAGGCTGATTGATAAAATTGATTGACAAAGCGATAGACAAAGAAGACATAAGGAGTATGGAGCGATCCTATTCGTTGAAATGGGTGGTTTTTATAGATTAAGGGACAAATTGATGGACTACCTAAAGGGTTTCTTAGTTAGTCTATTACCTACCTCCTTTGTCCATTGCAACCACACGTTTCCACCCGTAAGATTCCTCCAAATCCTTTTTGTCTATAGCTTCGTCTACAGATTTCAACAATCAGCAATCGTAAAATTCTCTCGTAAATGTGCGTATTAAGTTACACTAGGCAAGACCATCATTTTTAACGTGTAATTGTTTTTCATGCTAATTTTATTTTTTTAAATTCTGGGCCCCCGTTTTTTTATAAATTTTATTGGTCTCTCTCTCTCCTCTTCGTGTCGCAGAGTCCTTCTATCCCGAAGGTATCGACTCCCCATGGCCTTTACGCATAATGGAGAAACCTATCAATTGTAGAAAAACGCTGCATCGGAGCAAATAGCGATACAAAGTTGAATCACAAATGGCAGGATGAATTGTTATGCTGACGCTGATTGTCATAGAAATTTGCTTAATGGGGGAAAAGTTATGAATTTCAGGAGCTGTGGAGATGGTGTTTGCCGGGATTGGGATGGTGGCCAGCGGTGTCGTCCTCTCTAAATTCAAACCACGAGCGAGGGTCATCGCCGGCTACAATGTCGGAGTTGGCGCTCTTTCAGTTCTCATCCTTCTCATGTTCGCTTTCCTTGGATGCTCCGAGAATGAGGAACTTTTATCGTCTCACTTTCAAGAATCCAAGTACAGGTAATCTGCCGTGCTAAGGAAAAACGCCGCATGAGCCCTCAGGCGTTGCCAAATCTCCCTCGGTAAAGCACGAATTTTCGGGAAAATTTGTAAATATTTTTCTACGAATTTTGTCGGAGGGTTTCGCTCATAATTAAATCTGAAGTGCCTGAAAATTTCAAGGAAAAATATTCATTAAGTTCTCCAAAAATAAATATTTCCTGGGAGGCAATTTGGCAACATTCGAATTTTCATACGGCGTTTTTCCTCAGCACGACAGTATAATGATGTCATTGATAGTTTCCCGTTATTTATATCAATGTCCTCTATTGTTAATTTATGTATTTTAATTTTGTTGTCGTTTAATATCATTTAATGGCTCCAATCTTGGTTGCGATATTTCGAGATCTTTCCTCTTATTTTATTTTTTGAAGGGAAATTGAACCGATATCAGGACTTAAAATTTTCACAGAATTTTCCTCGCACGGAGAAGAATAACCACGAAAAATTCTATGAATTGACGTCAGGCGAGAAAAAAAAGAAAAAAAAAGAAAGAAAAAACCGTTGGTCTCCGTTTAAAAAAGAAAGTATGACAAGAAGCCTGCAACGTGCAAAACCGGGATAAGTAATTAGAGAGTGTCGAATCGCATGATGAAAGAAGTATTGGGTCTCCAAATTTGGGTCTTCCCTTGTATTCTCCTGAATCTAGATAATTTTTTCAATGTAATTGCAGCAATATTTTACTCAAAATTATCACCAAGCAACTTGGTGTTCTTGGCCCTACTGGATGGTGAAAAGTATGGTGCTTTTGGTTATTTTTGAGGAGAAACTAGAGATGATCATCATTGAGATGCTACCCTCTCCCAATACGACTTCAAAGTGGAGCCAGAATCTGAAAGTAATGATGATTTACAGGATGAATTTCCGCGCACACGGAGATTTTTTAGAGTGCTTTAATTGTTTTACTAGTTTTAAAATGGAAAGTCTTACCAAATGTTTTACTAGTTTTTTAGGAGGTCAAAAAGGAATACTCATAAGAGCACATTTTCTCGCAACTTACTTTTCCTTTTATTCTTTACAGGGGTGATTTGGAAAATGAGTGCAATGCTGACTGCCACTGCTCTTTCGTAAAATACTCACCTGTTTGCGCCCCTACATTGAAGCAGGAGTTCGTTTCAGCGTGCCACGCTGGCTGCCGCAACGTTACAACTGACCCCATCACTCATCAGATCAAGGTAAGGTCATTTTATCTATCATAAGTTAAAGAACATATTTGTCTGTTTTCGCTTGAAAACTAAAGAAGAAACGTAATTTCCAATCACATTGAAAAAAATTCGTTTGCTCGGATAATCAAATGCTTTTGGATGTAATACGGGAAAAGTCTGTATCATGTCAATAAAATGTATGCAACCACAGTATCACCATCGAATGTAAATATCTTGATTCTGAGGAGGAATTGTATGTCATGCTACGTGTTATCATCGCAAAAGTGAAAAGTATGCTTTACACTCTTTTCTTTATTCTCATCCAATAATTTCACCGGACTCCCTTCAAAATTTCTTACTTACCTTCCTTTTTTCTCAACAATAGGCATCGTTTCAAAGTAAGGATTGAATTTTTTTTGTTTTGTTTAGAAATACACGTCTTGCGCATGCATCCAAGACGGAAAAGCACAACCTGATTCAATCAGTGCAGTGCCTGAAGGAGGGTTCAACGTTTTCCCCGGCCATTGTCAGGTGCAATGTCACTACACCCTGGTGATTTTCTTGGTCGGAATGTGCCTCCTCAAATTTGCCAATACTTCAGGGAGACTTCCAAATCTCCTACTGACGATGAGGTACGATAAATTTCAGTAAAACTAAAGATTAAAGTGAAAATCAGGAGCCGAGCCTCTGAAGGCACGCGCAAACGAAGTAGCCGTACTTTGTTAAAAAAAAATTTAAAAAAATCATGATTATGCATACCTCATATTAAATCCTACAGCTCTCATTGAGAATCACTTGGATTGATTTACTTAAAATCAGATTCACTGCATCGGATGTCACGTACTGTTTATTTGTTTATAGAAAATTGACAACCCTCGAAAATTGAAACTTTGTAGGGATATGCTTTTTATAATCTAAGAGAAATTCATTCAACTTTTTAAGGCGTTTAATTAGTTTAGCTCTCTGTGAAAAAATAAAACTTGTGAGAAATTAGGCGATTTGAAATGCAGTCAGACTGATACAGTGGCGATTTCGCAAGCTAGGAACATAGTTTTTCCTCAATTTAAAGCAATTAAAAATATCGATTCACCAAGAACTGATTGTTTGAAAATGGTTAATTGAAATGGAAGAAAAGCATGTATTACCAACTTCCAAGAATCGCTGATCCTGGTTTTATCTGTTCATTTGAGATCACGACTAGAAACATCGTGCTCTGAAGCTGTTCCTTGTTGCATACACAATTAAATGAAGGCTCACTATGGCGTTCGTTTACGTGTAAATCGATTCAATACTCACCGCATGCAAATCAGGGAACCTCTTTACTGGACATCCTCTCGTCGAAAACAGTCTGTAAAGTTGCAAACAGCGTCTGTAAATCCCTTGAACTGCCGGTGGATCAGAGTTCAAAGATTCTGAGTATACGATTCGTATATTTAGAGGATTGGAAAACGAGTGATCGACGAGAATCTAGTATTGCAAATGTTCTCTAATCAATCGTACTTGACTGCACATGCAGTGACATTCTTTGTTTTTAAATCGCATATTTTTACATTCTTTGAAATAATCAGTTTGTCTCGAATGAAAGCTTTGAGTTGCTTCTGTTTGTTCTGCGTTATTCATACGAGTTTTCACTAGACAGAAAAACAATTTATGAGCTTCTTTCCCCAAGTAGAGAATTATTATGCATCCACGCTGCAAGTATAAGGTTATTAATGATAGGTTAAAATAAGTGAAATATAATTTGCTGGTCTCCGATATGGATAGCCTAGATGCTGATCGTCGTAATTAAGTAACTTAGTTAACCAATGTGTAATTTTAAAAGTCGGAAATTAAAAGAAAATTCAAAAAAATTAATTTAGCACGAAGCTGTCCATTTTACAAAAGTCGCTAATTCATTAAAGAGCCCCAGGGAGCTCTCAGCTCTCCCCGCTAGAAATGGTTCACCACCCACCCCCGGGGATCGCCGCAGCGCGGCGTGCTGCCAGCGGGAAACGCGCACTGACGCCTACAAACCTACAGGGCTACTTCACGAATTGCGTAATGCTTGAAGTATCCAGTTAGGTTTGTAGGCGCCAATGTGTGTTCCACGCTGGAAGCACGCCGCGTCGCAGCATACCATAAACTTGCCCACATTTAATAGGGCAAGGTGTTAAAGTCTCGACAATTTGACATAAAATTCGAAATCAGCAACTAAAAAAATATCAGTAACGATACTTTCGTGATCTTTCAGTCATTAACCGACTCATTTATTCCTATTTTTGAGATCTGGACCATAAAATTGTTCCTCATAAAAACCGTAAAACGTTCAGACATTGTTGGCGACTCTTTTTATTTAGTTTGCCTTCATCCTCCAAAAAAGGAGGAGTATGATCCATCGTGTCAAGTATGATAGGTAATACCCATGTTGAATAATTCCAGGAGCGTGGATGAGAAAGACAAACCAGTTGCAATGGGTTTCGGACTCACAATCTATAGTCTTTTTGCCTTCATACCTGCGCCAATATTGGTTGGTAACATTTTAGGTGAGTTAAAATCGCAAGCATGCTAATAATTTATCCTTTCCTATTCTTGGAGAACTGTGTGCCGTCCATACTAACTCTGAAAAATGAAATATAGGCAACTTCGAAAAAGGTTATAAAACTTACTTCTAGAGGGAGACTAAAGTCCCATCACCTTGATTCTTCTGAAGGACGCTTCCTTAATTACAAATTAGACCTCTGAAGTTTCGGTATAGGTACCATTGCTTAAGTAAGGATGAGCGTGCCTACGTAGCTCTTGGAGCGCCACTATAACAATAAGACAAACGAAACCAACACAACATGGAAATATAGTACCAGGGAAAGGACGAGCGTTGTTGGCGGCGCAGAGATACATCTATTCGTGCTTGATGGATGTCTGTGTTGCGCTTAAAAAATTGAAGGCGCGATGGCGCGAGGCATGAATTCGCAGTGCTCCGCTCTGTGCTCCAAATGAGGTGTCGCTCAGATTTGGGGAAATAATTGAAAAGAGGCCCGATTACGCCACCGTGATAGCGAAGAGCGCAGTAAGGGTAAAAATGAAGTTTCGAGAAAACGGGCTCAAAAGCTTCTGACCAGAAAATTTTATCGAAAGGAGCCTCCGTTCTTTGTCGAATTGCCACTAATCGTCCGAAAGAGTCCTAGAAATCGTTTGGTTGATTATGAACTGACTGATTTTAATTTCAATTACATAAAAAGGGTATTATTCATTTTCATGCGAGGTTATTATGAGGCAATACAGCCGTAAGTGCTATCTTCTGCATGCTTTCGTGGTTGAGTTTTTGGACACAAAACGAACACATTTTCAGGTTAGAAATTGGCAGAAGAGGGCTCGATTTCGAAAATTTGACACTTACTGCTCTCTTCGCTATCCATTGTGTTGCTTACGTAGCCCTCGAAGCACCACTATAAAAATAAGACGAATGGAACCAACACAACAAGAAAATAAAGCCAGGGAAAGGACGGGTGTTGATGACGGCGCAGAGATACAACTGTTCGTGCTTGATGGATGTCCGTGTTGCATCTGAAAAATTGAAGGCGCGAGGCGTCAACTCGCATTGCTTCGCTCTATTTTGCCAATGAGGTGTCACTAAGATACGTGAATAGCGTACCTTTGTATCCTCATCCCGATCTTCTCTTATTAACTTCTTAGTCTAATCAAAAAACCTGGGAAAGCCAGACGCTGGAAAGAACTAAGTAGCCTCTTAAAAAAACTTTTCGTTTCGGCAGACGCGATGTAAATCGGCCAAGAGGTCGGTGAACGGCGACGGTATTATCAACCTCAACGGCAGATGGTCCACAGGTTTTCCCGCAATCCGTAGAAATTGTTGACGAAATAATTTTTCAATTTTTTATGACGGATCATCTCGGAGGAAAACTGAAGTTCCCTCCACTTGATTCGTGTGGATTAAAAATTGACAACTAGGGTACTAGACAAACAAACAAACGAAAAAAACAAAAACAAAAAAACAAAGGGAGAAATTTTTCGTATAATTCACCATCTCAAAGGAAAAAATACACTGTTTCAGACAATACATGTTTGGTGTGGGGCAAAACGTGCCTTGGGAAAGGAAACTGCTGGTTGTATGACCTAAAAACCATGAGATACACTATTAACATTACGGCCGCAGGTGAGTGACAAAAATGTTTTAAGCGCACCTCATGCATAGTCAGAAATTAATAGTAGTTTAACAGTTTTAACGATGAAAATTGCATTTATTCCTTGCGTTGAATGTATAATAAGTACACACTGTGTTATATATTTCCTACTCTGACAAGAGTCATTTTATGGAATACTTAATGTTATGAAAAAAACGGGTGGACCCTAGTTTTACATTTATAGTTTTAATAAATCCTCACAACATCAACAGGGTCACAAGTTCCAATGGACCTGACCTATATTGGTAGAGGGAGGAACTAATACGATGATTCTCCATACCATTAATCACGCAGCATGAAATGGCTGATAAAACTCCTTCAGAATCGAGGGTTGGCAAATTATCATACACGACTGTCTACCAGCTCGTAAGGCACTTTGAAAGCATCGAGTTCTGGTTGCGTGATGTGTGCGAATTCGAGCCCCTAAAGCGAGAGGAATTGCATGCAGTCTTGATTTCCTACTTTAGTGGTTATTGCAATGCCTGCTGGAGAGCTATCACAGGTATAGAGGATCGAGTGATATTTTTTAAAAAATTGTATTGGTTGTCGTAAATAAAATTATTTGTCTTTGAGTAGATATACTTTCAGAAAAAATTGAAAACTTGAGCCCATTCATTGGCTTTATTCTTCGAGCTTTGAATTCATTTGTATCATGACCTTCCATGCAATTTTCTAACTAAAGCTGTTCCTTTTCTCCAAATTTTTCTTACAAAAATATTGCCTAGCCTATATATCTATGATACATTTCCTTTCCCTTTGTGGTGACATTTAAATGGGTTTTAATTTTCCCTGGAGGTACCTCCAAGATTTTCGTTTACCGCCATGCCAACAAGAATACCATATGCTTGAAAATTGTGAAGATTATTTGCATGAGATTCAGCACTAAGTCAACGTTCAAGATTTCCGTGTGTTTATAAACCTTCCTTTTTGCGCAAAAGATCAGTTTATACTATTTAATTTTACATTCTAGGTAAATGTGACGTACTAATTACTCAATGCACTCAAATTCTTCTCTCTTCACTTTCAGCATTCATGGCAATTGGCACATTACTTGATGTGGGAGTTTGGTACTTTTCGAAAAATTTGAAGATGTTCGATGATGAGCCAAAAAAAATCTTGAGAAACTCAATAGGCTAAGAGAGGTCGGTATGATACAGATGCAACAATAATTTGTTACATAATTAAATAAATAAATTTTCTAAGTTTATTCAAAAATAAATCATGATTTTGTTACATTTTCTAAGAGGATATTTACTTCTTTCTCTTCTTAACTCCTTTTACCGATCCCCAATCAAATATCGACTTGAAATTAGAGAAATTAAAATGTGTAAAAACATAAGCCTGAATCATGTATTATTTCTTGAGATATTGAAATTTCATTGGTTCATTGCATACAAATAGTTTTAACATTGTATCGAAATTCTGTCAGATTTGGACAGTGCTGTAATTTTGCTTTAGTTTGGAATGATTTCTGTAAGATACATAGGGAGAGCCTTGTATTAGGTTGAAATGAAATGTTCAAGAACCAAAACATTTTGATGCTAGAACATATCATAGTAACTTTGTTTCCCAAGTTCTATTCTATTTTATTGTATTTTTACAAAAAAACTGAAACATTTTCTTAACTTGAATTTTACAATAAAAGGTGTTATTCTGAGAAAATCGATAGGGAGGAGTTATCGATGGATGCTGAAACTGCAGGATTGCATACCTTGGTTGCAGACTTGCTGTCAATTTCCCTTATTCAAATGAGCATATTCTCAACATCATTTTTTATAAAAACTTCTCTAATTATTTCCTCCGAGTGAGGAAAATTTGTAAAAATTTCAAAGAATAGTGTTAGTTTGTTCTCCTTTTATAGAATAAGATAAAATCAGAAATTTTGAAGCACCGCAAACAAGATATGCGCTCCTAGAGTTTCATCATTGCGATGATGAACGGATGTAAAAATATTAAAACAAAGAAGTAGGTTGATTTTTTGGATTGTTTAATTCATTTGATGACTGAATTGACAAAAGCATCAATGCATGTTATGACAAAATTCGCATTCAAATTGAAAAAAAAAATAGTTAGAAAGGAGGCTCATTGTAAAAAATAAATAAATAAATAAATAAAAAATTAAATAAAGCACTTGCTACACAAAAAAACATAAAATATTAGATAAAATTATATTTGACAAGTTTTAAGCCAATCAAGATGTCGACGGATTACAAAACCATAGACTAGATGCTAGGACTCCCACAGGGAGTAAAGTATTGAAGTTCATATCACATAACTTCACTGAATAAATGGAAGCATTTAAAGTAAAAGGAACTATATGCAATGTGACATAAACCCTGTCATGCATGAGCTCTGATAGATTTCTGCGCTTGTGTGAGAATTGATATAGTTCCTTTTGATTTAAATACGTCCAAATATAATAGTTCTTGTTCCATTTAATCTTGAATTAATGCAAATTCTCAAAGTTATTATTCCGTTGGATATTTTTACTCAAAACTGATTGAAACATGTATAATATTTCCGTTATTTTCTTGAAATAAATCTGAAGTAAATGGGATTTGCATGGTTCAAAATCATTGTTTACAAGTTCTTTGGTGCGGCTAAAAGAATGTGACAGAGATGACAAGGATAACATCCTCATAAAGATACACCGAGAATTTTGGAATCTTTCTCTCTGAGTTGCCAGGGCTTAATTGGGCACTGAGTATTATTCTCAACTCATTATCAACAGGGGAACTGATATTATATCAACAGGGGAAGAGATTCTTTCCAGAGATAATTATTTGTGTCAATTTTTATATCTGATACAAAAGTCCACTGAAAAGTGGTCAAACCCATACTCCTCACTTTGTTCAGCAGGACTATCGATGATGGAATTTATATTGATTCATTTTATTCAGTATCTTGGCAAAATACCTGATACAATGATTGACTAATTGACTTTGAAGACCAAAAATTCTTATTCATTTTTAAAAGAAAAAGGAGATGGCAAAATGATAAAATTATTTAACTTAATGTTGATTTTCATATTGAAAATAGCACAGTAATGGCCAAACTGAAGTGATAAAATATTAATTAAAATTAACATGTATCGACTAACTAGTCCTGATTGAAGTCCACTTTTTTACTGGCATTTATGAAAGCATATCTAAGTGTTTAACCAAGATTAAAGCAATGACATTCAAAAATTTTGATTGGCTTTCATTAGTCGCATTGACTTAGCTGTCACATACTCAAATACTCAAAAATGATTATAAAATCAATACTCTATCCGTGGAACCTGTAAACAATTTATCTTTAAAGATACATATTTAAAGAGTTTTTTTTTCTAAATCTAGCAATACTGAGGAACTTTTCACAGGAGTGTCATGAAAGAAAAGAGTTTGATGATCATAGCTTGACGGTTAGTAAATCTGTGATCTTGATTTAAATAGAATGCTTGTATTTACTATGGGATCCATACTGGCTCCTGTTAGTCAAAACTTTACAGCACGCAAGATGGCTACACTTGATAGTTGAAGTCAGTGTTGTAAATACTCATCATGATGTTAAGTAGACAGGATAAGGAAAAGATACCGAGGACAACAAACTAAGCTTACAAAATCTATTGCATGGGCACATCACTTTATTAGAGAGATTATCTTTTTGCTGGGTTTGCAATTTTATTGACCGGTAAAATTATGATCATCAAACTTCTTAGTCATCATACTTCATGACGCCTAGGCCTAGGGCACCAATTCTTCACTGGTCTTCGATACACTAAATCTATTCAATACAAGATAGAAAACACTTCAAAAAAGTCCTTACAATATTGTGCACCATCCTGAGGGTGCTGGTGCATACAAAATTTGATCTAAACTTTCAATCGCTATTTGGACGGATTTCCCAGTATGAGCTTAATTACATTAAGCAATGCAAAAGTTTCTTTCGCGTTTTAATTTGCTAATTTAAAGCTAAATAACATAACCCCTTGAAACTTTCTGTTAACGTCTTCGTGCACATTGAGAATATTCCTATTTAAAAAATTTCAAATTAGAATGTTACTTAATTTTCTGCTCAAAAAATTAAATACGAAAGGGCATTGGGCAATGTTTGATGTAGTTAGGCTGCTTATCTAATTACGTCCATCCATTTGGTCAAATATTGAGATAGATCAATGGCAATGTTAGTTTCATTTGATAGAATAGAAACAGATGACTATTCACGAGAAAGAAAAGTTTTTGAAATAGAAATCTTGACAAATCAATAAGTTACACAAAGTGGAAATAATTATGAAAGAAAAAATAAACAATGAATAAACTTTAAAGGCTCCTTTGCATTGAAAAACTGAGGTTTTATATCATTTATACTTTCCCTGCATCCTCTTTCAAACTAACAGTTCTATTTAAAATGAGCTTATCATTAGAAGAATCAAAATCAACGCAGAAAAATCCTACTCTTTCGAGCTGGAATTGTTCAAGATGTTTCGCTTTAACCAATGAGCTGTCAGCCAGACCTTGTACTATTTTTAATGACTCTGGATTGATGTCTGACAAATATCCTGCAGGCACTTCATTAGGATCCTCAGGATTTTTATGAAGGAACAATCTCTCGTAAAGCCGAACTTCAACAGTTGCGGGTTTCGCTACCCAATGAATGAATGCTTTTGGTTTGTTCTCGGCTGTTGCTGGACTTGCGGTCACCTCCAGCTCTTTGATTACACCATTATCTTCAACACACTTAGACAAGGTCAGAACAAGTCCTGCATATCGTAACCCAACAGTCTGACTAGGAGTCAAACGTCGGAATCCCTTTTCAGCCTCCTTTTTAAAGTCAGACTGCTCAATATAAACAACTGAATCAAAGGCAATTAAGTGCGACCCTTTTTCTGGCTCATTGGGAAAATCAGGCACTTCTATTGTTGAGGGTATTTGAAGATCTTTGTGGTTCAATATTGTCACCTTCAGTGGTTCAACGACTACCATGGTTCTGGGTGCAGTTACGTTCAACATATCACGAACAGTGGCTTCAATCATACTAGGGTCAACAGTAACTTGAGCACCAGTTACACCCATCTTGGCACAAAAGTTATTGATAGCAGTTGGTGGGAATCCACGTCTTCTTAGAGCAGATAAGGTAAAAAGTCGAGGATCATCCCAATCTTTCACAATACCCTCATCAATCAGTTTAGCGATTTTCCTTTTTGATACGACTGTGTTACTGATATTGAGTCGGCCGTACTCCCATTGGACAGGACAGTAAATCTCTAACGCATTGCATAACCAATAATAAGAGGAGCGCCTGTTTTGAAATTCTTTTGTGCAGAGAGAGTGAGTGATATGCTCAATCGAGTCACAAAGGCAGTGTGTGAAGTCATACGTAGGATAAATGCACCATTTATCACCAGTTCGATGATGAGACAAAAATTTGATCCTATACGCAACTGGATCTTGCTTACCCTCCTCAAGCGTTATTTTCATCCTCAGAGTTGCCTCTCCTTCTTTAATTTTACCATTTTTCATGTCTTTGAAAAGAGAAAGATTCTCTTCTACGGGGCGCTCTCTCCAAGGAGACGGTGGAGGATTAAAACCTTGCATTTCTTCTTGTTTCTGATGACAAACGTAAGCTAATCCTTTGGAAATCAACTTGACAGCCCACTCATATAACTGATCAAAATAATCAGATGAATGAGTAATTTTGTACGGTTTGTAACCCAGCCACTCAACCATATCTTTGATACCAACAAAAAATTTCTCTTCCTCTTTTTCAGGGTTTGTATCATCATAACGTAGGTAACAAACACCATCATGAGCAGCAGCGTAGCCGAAATTAATATTGATGGCTTTTGCGTGACCAATATGCAGAATTCCATTAGGCTCAGGAGGAAATCTAGTCCTGACTTTACCACCAGTTATCTTTAAGTGCTCTTTCAAGAGAGCATCCGTTTTTTCAGTGACTACATATCCATCACTTTTGAAGTTTTCACCAGGCTTATGAAAATTCAACTTTTTCATTACATCACTGATGGTAACAACAGGCGGTGGCGAATCTTCGGTAATCTTTGCAGACTCTTTGGTCTTTTTGCTGGGAGCGCTCTCTTTTTTCACTTTCTGAACGGGGGCAAGATCTTGTTCAGTTTTTGGCCCTAATAAAGACTGAATTTGTTTATCAACTTCATTTTTTACCAGTTTTCCATCGGCCCACTTTAGCTTTGGTCTTATTTCCTGCATGATGAGGCCAGTGTTGAACCTATATCTTTTCTCTAGAAGATCATTTTCATTCTTTTTGATGGCTTCACTCACTGCTTTTTGAATATCTTCCGCTGTTACAACAATTCCAACTCCACAAGCTGATTCAAATTTTTCTATGTCGACATCTTCTTTGACATTCGACAGCAAGTACTCAAGGGCAGCATCAACTCGAACAGTTGAATCTAATTTATTTGTTATGATGTACTGAGCAACAAAAGGAATATGGTGAGAGCATTGTTTCTTAATTTTGGAAGCTAAATGGTACAAGAGGGTACTAGAGCTAGTTAGTTTGTCCTTACCTCCAGCACACTCAATAACAGTTACCAGATTTTTTGTTAGAGCTTCATTTTTCAAGGTTTCCTTGGCTTTTTGTTCACTTAGCCCCAAAGCCATAAAGCTTGAAATTAGATCCTCGTTGGCCATGTTTGATACAATTGTATTTCAAACTAAATATCTGGAGGGAAAGAAAAAGCAAATAGGGAAAATTAATATTATCGCAGGAATGTAGGTGGTGTAAGAATTGTCAACTATTTTCCTTTTTGTGTATGATTATTCTGAGTACATGGAGAGCTTGAATTTAAATAAAAATAAAAAGAAGCGTGAAAAAAAACTCATTAGGCAGACCTTTTTTTCCTCCTTATATTTTCATTATATCTTTTGTTTTCTTCTACGTGAAAGTGTTAGCAATTATGATTTCCAATATTGTGAGAAAAATTTGAAAATTTCCTATCAGAGAATTCAGTAAGTAAGTAAATACAAGTCATATAATTTTTTATCCAAATTACATGACTGCATTTCTACTATCAACTGGTGATTTCCTAATATATTTTGAGAGATATAAAAAATCTTTAGAAAAAGACTGAACCATGTGAAAAAAAACACTTGAAAACATCCCAACTTCTCTTGATTAAAAAGCTTACATTTTCGATGAATATTGAAATAAATGTTGATACTGGGAGAGTACCTCAAGGATGCCTCTTTCAAGAATTCATATGTGCTAGACTGTTGTTCAAATTTTGCGAAACTCACTGAAAATGAGATTCCGTGAGAAAAACTATCACAAGGATTCCATGTGAATTGTGAAAGAAATTTTGTTTTGCACCCCTCCAACTGAGATAATCATTTAACCACTAAATCATTTTTAGCAGAATTTACTGATCAAGGAATGGCTTGCTGAGAAACTTGGATTTAGTTGTAAAGGGAAAACAATTCTTTCTCCAATAATTTAAACCTATTTAATAAAACAGGTTTAAATTAATGCTCCTCTTTTAAAATCCATCTCCTTAATTCAAATTAAATCTGGGAGGGTAAATTAAGTATTGTTCTAAAATGATGGTCGGATCTCACTTGGTGCAAATCTGTGCCCATAATACTTAAGTATATCCCTAAAAAATTTAACTTTTCTACACCCATGCTTCTTATCGTATCCTGACAGATTTTAAAATTTCATCTGTGAGGGATAGGTTCTAAAGGACCTACGTCTCTGTATTTTCTCCTATGGGGGGAAAAAATGCATTTACCGTTCTGTCCACTCGTAGAGGATCCTTCTGTTCTCCACTGCTTTGATGTATAAGTCACAAGCATCTTATACAAGAAAATGCATTATCTTACTTGACTTATGACCTTGAGCTCACACACATAATTTCTAGACATTTTATCTCTTACTGTTAATAATAATTTTTCAATATTGCTAGCAAAGATAATAGTATGTAGCCATATTAGAGCACTTACTAATTCCAGATATGTGAAGACTAACAATGTCTTCACTCCTAAGCAAAGCGTCAGACACTGCTCCAATAGGTGTCACTAGATTCTTGACATAAAATCGTTTTGAATCAGCATCCGATCCACTAAAAGTTCCACTGACGCAGTTACCATCCACTAGATTGAATTTGCAAGAATGACCTGGTAAAAGAAAATACAAATTGAAAGTGCGTCAGAGAAGGAGGCAAAAATCCGCACAACTGTTTACATGTAAAAAATTTAATTGGCCGATTAAATTTGGCAATGGCTGATGTGGCTTGGTTCCTTTCTGTTTAACGCGGTCCAATTCAAGCTGTGATGAATTGCATACTTTGGCCCTACGAAGAGTAGACCATAGTAGTTTTAAAAACTTAGAATCTTGACTGGCTGAAGGATGAGAATGTTTAGTTTGATCTCATTCATTGCTATTCCTTCTAAACACGCAATCGTAAATGGTAATTACGACAGCGCCTCAGTCTACAAGGCTATCTCAAAGAAAGGAAGGAGGATTTACCTACTTCCTGGATCAAACTACAGCTCTGAATAGCAGGCAAGGGATATGACCTTTCTAATTTCACTCTGTATAGGAGGAGAGGAATAAAAAATCTATGTGGTGTATTAATTCTGATTACTACTCACCAACAAGAAGAGTTATTACTCTGAGATACTTCTCTCGCAGAAATGCTCGAGCTTCTTGGTGTTTCTTCGAATTTAAGTCGACCGAGGTTTCGGACTGATCGTTTTTTGAAACAAAATTCTCTGTACTTATTTTATCCGGCGACGTTTCGTCATCTGAATTCATAACTTCCACTGGACTTCCACGTTGTAAAATTCACATTTCACTGCCGACAATGAAAACAAATGCATAACCTCAAATTCTCCAAAAGCTGCTTCGAACGATACCTAGTGTCGAGACAGTGAACTAATGCAATCAACTCCTATTGGTTGTTTTTAAGGCGGCAAAAACAGTGCGAATTTGAACTTCATGCAAGAGAACCGAAATACTAAAGAGGAGACTTGTTCGTTCATTTACTTGTGTTACCAAATTTTCATTTTATTTTTATCTTGAATTGCGAATGACCGCACTTCGCTGGCCATTATTAAATTAAAATACCCTACAGCCATATTCATTCGCATCTCCGAGGCCGGATTTACATTTTTAGCGCATTAAGCTGAACTGCGGTTGGCGCTCTGAAAGCAGGAGTCCCATACACACCCCCCCCCCCCCCCNCCCCGGAGAGAAGGAGATAGGCGTGATATCGAGGGCAATTTTTCAAATCCAACTTTAAAAATTCATGCTTTAAAATATTTTTGAGATACCAAATGCGAGAATGTTGATGCTGGAAAAAATTTTGATTTTGAAAATGAAAAGTGACAAAAGACTAAATTTTTGATACCTAGGTACTGTTTCACTGACGAGAAGAAGACCAGGAGGGTTTCCGTGGAAAGGGACAAAATGGCGCAAAAGTGGGAGAGCGAAATGATGGAGCGAAATAATTGAGGGCCGAAAGTTTGGTTTCATTGAGAATTTAGGAACTTGAAAAATGCGAAGAAAATGTGGCGACCTCAATCTCGGTGCTTCAGCTCGGCCGTTGCTTTTTCTCAAAACTCACTACAATATAAGATAAAGAAGGAACATTGCTCGATTGAAGCCTTCCAAAACCGTTGTACTGCGCCCGTTAGTTCAAATAAACGATTGTTTTTCTTGTAAGCGAGGAATTCAGAATTTCCGTAACCAATTTAAACTAAAAATTAATACCTTAGTTAAGGTGATTCAGTGATTTTCATCGCGCAAATCATGTTCTCCGAGAAAAATTGGTTCCGAAACTTGTGCCAAAATGCTTAAATTTGCATCTTATCAATTGTTCCATTGACGAGTCCCGTGCATCTCTGAGGAAGTGAGAAAAGCAGGAGCGCCTTCAGTATTTGAGTATGCAACACGCACATCCGTGGAACACGAATAGTTGCATCAAAGCGCCGTAATCAACAGACATACTGACAATGAATCTAGTCGTTGTAAAGCGGGAACGCCTTCAATCTTTAACTATGCAAGACGCACATCCAAGATCCTGAAATTAAAAGTACATCGTAAAAACTGTCGTAAATTCTGTAATTAATTTTAATTCTATTCAGTCTCGTTAAAAATCTGGTAAAGTCGTCGTCAGAAATCATTTAGGTTGGAAAAGACATCCATTTATCTGGATCGCCCATCAAACGCCCGTCATATTGCCGATTTCAAAATCCGTAAGAGCATGTTGGAAATGGAGGTGGACGTTCATAGACTCTCCATACATCTTGAGCTGTTGGCACAGAACGTTGTGTCTTCGGTTTTATGGGAACACAACTTGTGAACTAAAGGCAGGACAGCGCCCATGAAAAAGTATGTATAAAGGACAGAAAAAGTATGTACAAAGGACAGAAAAAAACACGATTGGACCTAAAACGCAGGGCCATTTTATGGATTGGACCAAAAAATATCGGACCAAACTTACTGGACAAAAAGGTACTGGGCAAAATTTATTGGACTAAAATTTTCTAGGACGAAAAAAATTGGACGAAAATTCCTGAGACCGGGTGGTGGACAGGTACATACCTAATAAATGGTAAAGAGAATCATATTTCTTGATACCCTTAAAATTTGCAATCTATTCCAATAATAATTTCCAAGCTCTCCAGGGTTTCACAATGATTATTCGCAATGAAACTGTGACCTTCATCAGAGGTAAATACATAGAGCTGTCATTTTAATGTTTTTAGAGAGTGTGCATGTCCGAAAAATTTGCGCAGGAACTTTCTGCTATCGCAAAGGAGAGATCCCACTTTTATGATCGCGTCAAAAATTATTTTGAACCAATATTCGACAACTTCCGGCCAGAGTATCCTAAGCGACATGCGATGTTTCAAAATTTTCGCCCCCATTTTATTTTTTTACAAGAGACTTTGCACAACGAGGCTGTCCGAAAATGTCACGGAATTTTCTTTTTGGTGCCGATAAAATTCAGTGGAATTTTCAAACTGATTCAACCAACGATTTCTCTGTAAAAAAATAAAATGGCGGCGGAAACTTTGAAAAATTGCATGGCGCTTGTGATACTTCGGCCGGAAAGTGACGCATTATCCTCGCAGATTGTTTTTATGGGGATGCGAACGTATCAAAAACTGTTTAATGGTCATTACTGGAGTTGCATATTCTGATAGCCCGACCAGCGGGTAGGTGTAATGGTCTTTCAAAAAAAATTCTCGGTGAAATAGTGCGAGTAGCGCCCTCATCGTTCCGAATCGCTCGAATAAAAGTATCCGAGAGTGTTTTCACGCAGGAGTCGCAGTTCGTTGCTTTGACTGTTTCCACATATTTTCTGCAGGGTAATTACTCTCTATTTGCACCATGGATTTCTTGTTCCCCATATTTTTTAGCTCTTTTTGTTTTTTCATCGTGGAAACATCCTACGTACAAAGTAAGTAATCAATATTCTTTTTACCACATAGCTCATTGATTTTTTTTCCAACTCAATAACTTACAAAATAACTTACTAATATAAACTAATAATAAATGTGGTGGGTCGTGCTCGACTGAGGTTGACTCGGGTTGTAGCTAAAACTCAATATTTGACCCTGATTTTTTAAGAAATAGGGGTTAAGCTTACGGAGGTAAAATTCCCGTGCAGCAGAGCGATAAACTAAGCTAAATAAAACTAAGTTTCATACATTGCAAATTTTAAACGGTCATTACACCAGTTTCTTTTGAAATTTGTGGGTGTTTTTTTTTTAATACTTAAGGTGAACGCGTAACTCTCCAATTATATTACGCTGAATTAAGTATATATCGACGGCTATATATAGTGCGAAACAACGTACTTCCATCGCGGTGTTACAAAATTGCCGCTCCTATTTTACTTTTTTCGCAGAGATACAAGCCAACTTTATAGCTATAGAAAATGCAGAATATTCTGCCAACAAGGAGAATGAATCAAAAAAGTTTTCCAGAGATTACGTTGAATGGTTTTCCAAAAAATTAATCAGCATAACAGGGAGTTTGCAACGTCGTGGACCAGGGTTGGACTGGCATGCACCTAAGGGCGCCGACCCTTGGCTGGTTAAAGGGGCGTAATGCGATATTTCCTGGTTGGGCATCCCCTCCGTGGAGAGGGATTCAGAAAATTTTGGCAAAGAAGCACAAGTTTACGCTATTTTCAGATTTAAAGTTTCTTAATCGTACAGAGTAAAAATTGCAAAATTGAACGTATTGAGGTAACCGAAAGACTTATGAAATTAAAGAAAACATAAAAAGTTAAAGCCACTAGACGCATCCAAGCACTATTATTTCCAAAACAATCGCGCCAGTGCTGCGGTTTACTCAAGCTTAAGACGTGGGTCTAAAAATCCATCCTAAAAAGAATCATACAAGAACCTGAAAAAAGAAGAAAGAACAAGTATCGACCAAAGCCAAAGACAGGAAAGATGTATTCGGGCCTGTTTTTTAACTTTTCTCCCGAATCTGAGCGACACCTCATTGACAGCATATAGCAGAGCATTGAGAGCTCTCGCTTCGCGTCATCGCGCCTTCAATTTTTCAGATGCAGCTCGGACGTCCATCAAGTACGAATAGTTGTATCTCTGCGCCGTCGTGAACGCGCATCATTGCCCTCACTTTATTTCCACATTGTATTTGTTTGCGTTTGTCTTGTGACTTCAAACTAGTAGCAAAGAGCAGAGCATTGCGAGTTCACGACTCACGCCATCGCGTCTTAAATTTTTCAAATGCACTTGAGATGTCTCTGATTTTTTAATTTAGAAATAAATTAAGGTTAAGTTTGCCCAAGATATGCCATGATATGTATAAATCAATAGTCATTTTGAAAAGGAAGAAATATGTTTAAAAGTCTCTCAATAAGAGGTCTATAGAGGGTGCGTATGTCTAAGAATCGAACCGACCATCGCTTCTAAGGAAGTTACTCAAAGCAAATAAAGGAGGGGGATCATGAAGCGCCTGTAGGTCAACAAGAAGGTGAAAATTTCACAGAAAAGTGTTTACGCTTCAGAAAGTAGTTCTTGGACCCCTGTTCACCACTATCATGCGTAAAAGCACATTTCTTTACTCCTAACTCTCTCTTCTTCCGTTCATTTAAGACATTTTCCGCATACATTCTCGGTCGTAATTTTTTTTCTCTTCTCATATTTTGCTTTCTGTCAGAGGGGCGCGTTTTTGGCGCGCCAAGGGGGCGTATCTGCCAATGGCAGATTGGCCTTACGGCCAGTCCGAGCCTGTCGTGGACGGAGTTACGTGATTTCGCACTTTTGCCATCGATCTGTGACTCTGAGTTTTTTGATCACCAAGAAATTGTTTTCTCTAAGAACAAAAAAAAAGGGTAAAACGTGGAATAAAAACAGAAATTTCAAAAGTAAATAAAAAAGCCGCTCTGCTTCCGAACCATTCTGTGTTATTCTGCCGTGCTAAGGAAGAACACCGTATAAGCCTTCAGACGTTGCCAAATTTCCTCCGATAAAAACCGAATTTACTTGGAAAATTGCGGATATTATTTTCCAAACTTTTCAGACAATTTTAAACGCAATTCAGTTTAAAGTATTTGAAAATTTCAAGGAAAAATATGCATGAATTTAGTCAAAAATACATCTTTTATTGTGGGAAATCTGGCAACTTTCGCATTTTCATACGGCGTTCTTCCTTAGCAAGGCAGCATTGAAATCTCACCGTAAAGTGTATTCAAAATTTGCATTAAATTTTTGTCGTAAAATATTTTTTCTAGATGAACTTGAGGACCGGAATTACGCCTTCGAGCAGACGAGAAACGTTGGACAATACCCCAACGCTGGAAATCTCATCGACAAGGAAAGCTCTAGACAAGAGCGTTTCCTGAAGAAGCTAGGATTCCTTTCCGGGATCAAAGTGGGCTCCTCCTTCCCTTCACAGTCCTCCGGGCAGCTCATCGCGACCCACAACGGCAACTTCCTCGGCAGATTCCTGAACGCCAACATTCGGCTCATCTACGGCTCGCAGCCTCTTCTCGGCGGGGGCATAGGGGGCGTGGGGGCAGTCATCCCCCCCGTCACCACGGTCACCACCGGCGGCCTCAAGGGTGGCCCCGATGCCGGAGCACAGGGCACCCCCGGCTTCATCCTCATCCCTTTGAGGAGGGACCCGTCCGTGACCGATAAGAACAACACAGACGACAAGCTCAGTGTTGAGTCGATTTTGATCCCTGTTTATGAGAAAGTGGGGACCGTCAAAATCCCGGAGCTAGCAGCAGCAGCTACCAATGAACGGGCCACTACGACCACTGAAAATCCCCCGGTTGATATTGCTACTAACGTGGCGGGTACCTCTGGTGGAAATGGGGCAGGGCCCTCTGGCGGAAATGGGGCAGGTCCCTCTGGTGGAAACGGGGCAGGTCCCTCTGGCGGAAATATGGCAGGTCCCTCTGGCGGAAATGGGACGGCGACAGATACGTTTTTTATTCTTTGATGTGGCAACATACATATTTGTCTTGTGTAAATACAATTTTTCATACAATTGTTGATGCTCTTAGAGTTTATTTAGTGTGATAATTTTACAGATGGTCCCCCTCCGACCCTAGGAAAGCTATATCGAGTTGTTGGTTCAACTTCTCCCGCAGATAGTGAACATACCACTGAAGAAAATATCTCACGTGAACATTCAGACATTACAAAATGTCGACAAATGTTGACATTACAAAATGATAATAACTAGAATTTTCTGGATTCCTGATTTTTTTACGATCTATTTGAATTAGATGGAAATGAATTTGTAGCTTTGCTTGATTATACATTTGTTACAAATCAGTTTGCTAAAGTTAAATGCCCCATATGCACGGAAAAAAGTTGAATGTTGATTTAGCGTTTATACTGTTAAAAAGATGTCCGACAAGTTTCAAATGCTGATTTTACATTTTAACAAATACTAACGTAACTACACCCACTGCAAAACGTACAAATTAAAATGTTATGTTAGCATTTTTGTATAGTAAATTCAGCATTTGAAACTTGGCGGACATCTTTTTAACGGGATAAATGCTATATCAACATTTAATTTTTTTTCCATGTGGCACTGTCCCTTCGCTTCAGGGTTGGCATTTTCATGAAAAATAAAATTTTGAGATGTTACGTGAAATATTCATTGAATTTTTGGAATTTACACGCAAAAAATTATTGGGGGCTATCCCTTAAAATTGTGGTACTATCCCAATTTGTTGGATGAAATGGGCATTTCAAATTAATTGCGGTAGTACTGCAACATCTAGGTAAGTAACCTAATTTATTGGGGTACTATCACATTGATTGGGAGTGCCCATATCATCCAACAACCCCTACCTCTTTTTTCCGTGCATGAAAGTTATTGAAAAATACACTGTGACTGTAGTTTTTCAACTCCAATGTTGAACACTAAGAAGATAAAATCGTCGCTTTTTTAAAATTATTTTGCGTGTTGGAGTGTGGATTGCATACTCTAGCCCCTGAAAAACATAACAAATTTTCAGCCTCGTACAATTTCATTAAATATTTCAACATAATTTCAAGTTTTCCATTTTATTCTCAGATCTAATATCCGGCTTTGTAAGCACGGCTGAGGCCCACCCAAAAAACGTAAATCCACACTAGAAAAAAAGTGGCTCTGGAGTCCAGAATCTTAAAAACATTGACAAGAAAAATTACTCTTGATTCAATCGGACTTTTCGCTTGAATCAAAAGGAAATCCGCCTAAATCAAGAAGCTCGGCTCTTCAATTCAAGGAACAATCTTATTGAATCAAGAATATTTTTTCTTGTCGATATTATTAAGAGTATGGACTCGGATCCAAGCGACTTTTTTTTCCAGTGAAGCAGCTCCTATGAATTAATTCGTCACACTCCCGACATAAAGGCGTGCCCACGTTCTGCAATGAGCCCTGTCATCCATACATTTTAATCCCTTTCCCGGCTCATCTCAATGTGAACTTACGCGCTTTTGTCGGCCGCGCAACGAACTCATCGAGAGGACCCTGACATGACGCATGACGCCTCTATAGATATGCTTGACTCGCAGATACCTTTCTGCTATTATTCTTCTATCATCGAGTAGCGAACCTGAAAATTCATTATCAGTTGTCGCAGGGAGATGACTGGTCCAAAGATAATGCATCTCCTTCGTCCACTTTCCCGGTTCCTCTTCATTTTTGCCCTTTCACCTCTCCTCCACGACACCGTTGCGAACCGTTTGCAGCCAAAACAACATACTCGATAACCCATCATTGACAACTAGCTGCACCGCATCACCGCAAAAACAGTTACTTACCTCCAGTGAAGGAAAAAACAGTGGTTTCGTATAATTATGACAGTGTTTATGATCATTTTTACAGTACTTATTGTTAGTGTTATTAAATATGTGCCCGTTTCAACGTACCCGGTGTCTTCATCTCTCAACGGTAAGAATATAAAATGAAAATTCCTCGACTGATATTGGATCATTTTTTATAGAGTTCAAAAGTGAGGTTACATTGAGAGAACTGATTCAAGCTCGTCAAACACGAGATTACTCTTGTATGTTGGATTTTTTGGGAATATAGTAATTCAAAGTGATAATTTCTCTTTTTGGATCATGAACAGTCCATAGATAACACAAAATCTCTTCATGACAACGGTACTTCATTTAGCACCTTCTTTTCCACAATGGCATTGACTAAAAGACCTAAGTGTGGTGTGGAGTAAGGTAAATGAGTCCCGGAAAAAACTACATTGAGATAACCGTACCACAGTTCAGTGTAATTCTGCATCTTTTGATCCAATTAACATCCGAAAATTTCTAAGATTGTCCCTTTGAGGGCATTTCAAAATTAATCATGGACTGATTGCTAATTTTAGAAAAACACAAATGATGCATACCGGCCCTGGTGCCAGCTTCAGAAACAATTCATTTTAAATCTCAGAGCATTATTGATAAGTGCAAATTATGAAATGAGTTCAAATTATTCAGGATATTATAAAGCGTTTAGTATCGAAAACTAAAATGTAATATTCTTGACCCCAGAACGGATTTTTCAATGCATAGAACAAATTGCAGTTCTACCTTAGGGGCTCTTTTGTCTGACTCCATCACAAATCATATGAATTAGCCGAATTTATGGGTGGTTGATTTAAAATAATAATCAGTTCACAAAAAACGTAGGATAATCAAGGTTTTTAAGCAGACATTTTTTTGGTGTTTACCGATAAAAAAAAAGACAGCATGGCTTAAAATAGTAGCCTGTGTAGTCTTGAAAAAAGAGTGGGACTTTTCGGAAAATTTTCATTGTCGCAAGCAGTGGTTGAAACTATGTGGGGACAACCAAACTTTAAGATAATCGAGCTTTTTAAGCAGAAAATTTTTAGTCATTCAAATAAATATAAAACAAGATGACTTGAAAATGCCTAGCCTTTCTAGACCTGAACGAGGGAAGGGGACTTTTCGGAAGGGGGGATGGTCTTGGAATGTTTTTCCTCTAGATAAATAAAAACTAGAGAAAGGTACGGAGATTTCTCCTTTAAACAAATTTGGAAATTAGGTACTCCCAGAACGCTATTCTGTGTTGTTCTGAAAGTGAAATATCTCCTTTTAAATAGGAAAATCTTCCATAACTTTGAAGGGGGCGGCAGTCCCCGCTACGGCATTACACACTCGCCTCCACTGGTCGGGCAAGGCATAGCTCTAGCTCTACCCGCTGCTTTCAAGACGGGCTACCGTCTACATGGACAGGAGCGTCAATGTTGTAATGGACCACATTAAGCATTCAGCAGAAAGGAACCAAGTCACATCAGCTATTGCCAAATTTAGTCGGGCTATTTAATTTTTTACACGAAAATAGTTGTGCAGATTTGTCTGCAGATTTCAGTGAATTTCCTGCATAGTACAATTAAAATGTCTTAAAAGTTTCAAAGAAATTCGTACAAACGTTCTTTTGTAAAATATTAAATTGCCCAGTTAAATTTAACAATAGCTGATGCGACTTGGTTCCTTTCTGCTTAACGCGAACCAAATTATCAAAGAGTTATTCGCGACATTTCATGGAGGAGTGTTGCACGATCATTTCATTGCAAGAACATCACAATACTTCACACAAAAAAGGAGTTGTGATTGTTCAAGTTTCGCGGTTAAAATAGCGTAGTTTTGTGGAGGAGCTGTGCTGAAAAAAATTTGGTAACGTCAATTATTTTGTATAATATTATGATAAAAATATGGTTTGGTATAAAGTAAAATGGTGATAACCGACACTGCTGTAAGTGCACATACGGAGCAACAATGTTTTAATTTTACCAGTATATTTTACTACTTGTTGGACTACATTTTGCAATTTGGAATTATAAATTCTAGCCCGGTTTAAAAACAACGTATGTGCCATTAGTTTCCCTATGCACATTAGTGTTTTTCTAGAGGAGCCAGAATTTATAGTTCCAAATTACAAAATGCAGTCCAGTTGATGTTACAAATTTTTTTATCAGTTAAATGTTTGATACACTCAAATTATTGCTAGATTGAAATTCGACCTTACGTCATCTTTTCGTATGAAGAAGAATGATGCCTTTCGAAACTTATTCATTAGTAAGAGAGTAACTGTGCGACACGACTTGAATAAAGTGGGCATATTCACATTTCACAAACACAAGGAGGGAAAAAATCGGAGTAAATGAAAATGAATGATCAAGGCCAAAAACAGCATCCGACCGCGAAATTTTCAACCTTTTCCGGAAGAGAAGCTCCAAAATTTTCACCGCATTCACTGACTCCTGTCACGGCGTTTTTGACTCGTTTTTACAAAACGTAGAGGTTTAAAAGTGGTTTCATTAGAATTCTCGTTAAATTTTCTTCGCAAATCACCCCAAAAATTTAATAATTTGACGAAATAAACATCAAAATTTGCAGTTTCAGACAAAAATTTAATGTCCGACGTCCACCATTGACCCGTTCCATCGTGCACCCTTTACTTTTTTATGTTTTATAATTTAGACTTTCCCACTCAAATCGTGAGAAAAAAATCGACATTTATTACCCATCAATCTCTGATGCTAACTTCAAAAAATCGATTTTAAAGTGAGCGACCTTTATTTGTCATCAAGTTAATTTACCACAAAAAAAAGAAAAAAAAGTTATTTAACGCGCACAATCGCACATTAGTAACGGCTAAAGACTTCGGTGCCAGCCGATTGAAGACATATGGGAGGTATCACAACTGGACATATTTATGCTAAAAGGAACTATATGCATAGAGTTTGAGAGAGACACAGTTCTTTTTGGCATGAATACGTTCAACTGTCAATCAACCAGAGATAGCATTTTCCCATGTCACTGAAGATCTCTGTCATGCAGTCCGTCGTTGAAATTTCTACCCGTCGTTCTACTTCAATCGCAGAAATGCTATTAAAACAAGAAAAAATCGTAAAGATGGGTTGAAAGGATAAATGTGTCTGGCGAATCTATTTCTGTCATGGCTACAACATTATGCCACTCATAAAACGCCTTCGAAGTTTGAATAGGCAACAATGCATGCATCAACGCTTGTGAAACCGGGAGGGTGCCGGCGTTTTATTCGTTCACAGAGCAACTGAATTTTCTATCAGGCACACATGTAAAATACCAGTGAACATTAAACGAAGCGACGAAATTCCATTCTCCCGAAATGTTTCGGCTTGTAAGCTGTCGTTAGCCCATGTTTATTAATGAGCTTTCGTGGTCGACAAATTTAGCCTGTAGGCTTAATCTACTTGTTGACAATGTCAATCACAGCTCTAATCAAGAGTGCGTAATTCAGCTCTAAAAAGTATAGATATCGACTTTTGCAGACGAGGCAAGACATTTTCTGCACAGACTCCGAGCACTGTCAGTAAGCTAGTTTTGGTTTTCTATGAGATTGATCCGGTTAATAAATATTAAACTTTTGTATGTCAAGCAGCGTTACACAAGCTTGGCTGGAACAAGAGCAAAAAATGATAAGTTCAAGTTCACATAAGACTTAAGTACATATCGACGGTGAAAGTCGGCAATCACATAACTCGGTTTGCGACGTCGCAGACTTCCTGTCATACTTTATTTTTTAGATGGAAAACTACTCAACGACAATTCTTTAAAACTGTCATGATTTTTCTTCTCAATGCGAAGAAAATTCTGCAAAAACTTAAAGAAATAATATCAATTTGTTCTCCTTTAAAAAAATGACGTAGAGGCGGAGATTTTCAGACACCGCAAACGAGTTATGTGATTGCCGACTTTCACCGTCGATATATGTAATAGTATACAAGACAAATTAAGTATTAATCAACTCTATGAATTATATTTTGCAATAAGGTAAAATAGGTGCAATAAGGCACTTTGGTGTATCCATAAAAAGACTTAAAAGCAAATATGCGAATTGCTCAGGTTTCTCTTACAGCGTAAATGAAGTTGCATTTCATCAGCTTAGATACATCGCCATACTAGCAGTTCCTAATTGCAAGGTGTAATCCAATTGACAGTTTAAAAACACTACAAGCAGCATCAATGACGCTTTTCTTAACGACATAACTTTAAAGCTGTAGTTTTCTCCCTCCCTTATTCGGGCCAATCGTAGATACGCAGGTAGTAACTTGCCACTGATCTTATAATAAGTGAGATTTTAGAACATATATAACACTGGAATGTGTGAGGATTTTACAAATAGAAAACTGCATATTCGTGAAATGGCAAATTGGCCATGATATATTTTGGTGCAATAATATAAACTGTTTTCAACTTGAGAGATTTCACGTAATTTCTCTCAGACCACCTTAGAACATTCTCTGAAAATCAAAAGGAAAATCATTTATTAGTTTTTTCCTGAAGCAAGAAAGTAAAGGCGGGAATTTTGGAACATCACTCAAGTTAGCTGCGTTTGTATTTTAATTTCACCACGAATATATATTTTTATAAGACTCGTATTGTACTTCCTCTCGTTTTCAAACGCTTTTGCACGGTAAACTTCATACAGATTATTATCACTATTTTTTAGGATTTTAGTTTGGAAATTTTTGAAGTCACTATTTAGATATAAACAATTCATTGGATTTCACTTGGTCGACGATTGAACATAGTTTAAGAAGGCGATAAGAGATAACACGGCGTCTTTTCATACAAGCGTTAAAGTCTCCAAGTTTTTCTTGCTGTCTTCAAGTCACGATCGCATATTTTTCAATTTCATAGGACACGTGACTAAAACATAGCGCTCATTGTGAGTACGAATGAAAGTTTGACCATTTGATGTTGCACATTGTTTGCAGGGTGCGTCGTTACGGGAGAAATAGAGGCAAGTGACAGCGCTTATACGTGCATGGTATACTTCTAACATAGGCGGATCCAGACACTCGAACGGGGGGGGGGGGGGGGGGCGTAAGAAGGGGCGCCTCCCACAGAAAATTTTTGAAGCATCTAATATGTCGTTTGAGTCAGTTTTGTGATGAATTATCACCTAATGTATGCTCCTTTCCTTCTTGCCTTCTTTCGTCCCTGCAAATAGGTTTCGACCAAGCGTCGGGCAAAAAACTTTAGTAGGCTATACTTATCTGCTCAAGCGATGAAAGTTCAATACGGTTGATTCTTTATTACACCTGATGGTTTCGACAAAAGATACCACGGCTAATCCGGAACGGGCTTTTAGACGAAGCTAATTTCAGGTTTCTGAAAATTAATGCAAAAACAAGGATTATTATTAGTGCTTCAGTTTTTTGTCATTGTCTTAAAGATGATTAACTTAGATTAGACACTGGAAAAAAATAATTTTAACTTTTCCGGCAAAAAGTATTTTTTCTTAAATTAAGAATTTTGCTACATAATATAAACTACTTTTTTGCCTAACTCAAGCCTTATTTTCCTTGTATCAAGAAAAATTCAGCTTAAATCAAGATAAAAACCAATTATTGGTGGCAATTTCAAGAATCATCATGCTCACGCCAAGCCCATTTTTTTTTCCAGTGAAGTTTAAGTTGCTGATTAATCTCTAAACGAAAATAAAGTTATTTTTTCACTGTATTTTTTGTATTTTAAGGTTAAATTGCTATTTTTATACGTGTTTGTTTTCAGATGGAAATGTCGAAGCAGATATTGAGGACCCAAACGCAAGGAAACTAGTTTTCTACCCTCTACCCGTAGTCGTGCCAGCCTCCGAAGTAGACAATGTCCTCCACAAGGACCCCGAGGAGCTGCAGCACATCCTCGCTGATAAGGCCGAAAATCCCTTCATGCCCTCCCACCTCCCTCAGGACGCGTTCGAAATGATGAGCGATATCTTGAAGCACCCCGTCATGATGGAGCTGGACCCGGAGAATGAAGACAGCGCGGACCTCTTCCAAGATCAAGCAAATCCCAAAGAAGATCAACCAGTAACTCCGGAACCAGAGGAGTCGGTGACTTACTTCACGGACGAGCTAGGTGCGTTGCGGCCCAGCACGGTATCCCACGATTTGAAGGAGCAGACACAGGCCCCAAAGAACATCAGCCGAAAACCGCCTGTTAAATTGCTACAAAGGCTCCTGCGTGACTACTTGCCAGTCGTTAACCCGGAGGTGAAAAACTCGACACCCCCAGAGAAGAACCCGGTGATCTCGTCTCTGGCGAAGAAAACCCTGAAACCTGCACCGTCGATGAAGTACCCGGTGTTCGGGAACGGCCAGTTCTTCTCGCTCCTGAACACGCTCAACGTCATTTTGAATCGGAAGAATTTGCCCCCGTCCAAAACCTACGAGCCTTTCAAAGTCCCGGAATACAACGTCTCCTTCCCTAAGTTCACGGTGAATGTCAGTGAAACGCTGTTGGAGCCTCCGGCTTTCGCTAGTAATAAAGGTCTTCGAGTGTCGTCTCCTAAACCCGACTGTGCCGATGAGCTTCATGGACCAGCGAACACTGTATCTCTTGATTCGATGGAGACTGAGCACAATGAATCATCAATTGATACCCACAGTGAGTCTGTAATTCACACACCCCATGATACAGATATTAGCCACCAGAGCGCGCTATATAACGAGAACAAACTTGGGTACTACGGAACCACGAAAGCTCCTTCTGATAATCATTGGTTCTTATCGACTCACTCCTCGCTCTTAAATTTTGAGATGTCCTCCTCCCCGATAGTGCATGAGAATGATTTGAGTTCAAACCAAGATGATATAATATTCAAGGAACCTGATTTGCCTGATCAGCCTCATCTTTCATCCATCCATGAAAATGCAATGACTGAAACAACGTTAAACCTAGCAGACCAATCAACGCAAAGTCCTTCACCTGTAGATCCAAGCAGCCTTGAGCCTGTTAGTGAATCATCCATTCACTATCCCACTGCAAATAAAGAGGATAATTTAAATCTCGAATCTTCTTCAGCGGGTCATCATTCAACTTACACAGATCTCACTACACCTTCCGAGAAAGTTTCAGCAGTTACCCCTGATTATCTCGTTAATTCTCATAATCCTGATGATATGACAACTCCGCAGCAGCGTCCAGAGTTTGATTTTATGTTTAATCCTGGGGCAAACACCCCCGCACCTCCAGAGTTCCTTAATGTTGAGAGTGTGAGTGAACCCCATGAGACGGACACCTCAATCAGTCACGATGAAAGCTCACATGAGCCAATGAGCCACACTGATAACCATGTAAGTTCAAGTGATCATCCCACCAATGCGCCCACCAATGCGCCCACTGATGCGCCCACCGATGCGCTCACCGATGCGCTCACCGATGCGCCCACCGATGTGCTCACCGATGCGCCCACCGATGTGCTCACCGATGCGCCCACCGATGTGCTCACCGATGCGCCCACCGATGCGCTCACCGATGCGCCCACCGATGCGCCCACCGATGCGCTCACCAATGCGCCCACCGATGCGCCCACTAAGGCGCCCACCACTTTCGGTGAAGAAACTCAGTTCGAATCAACGAGTAATTTTGACGAAACCTCAGATTTGGACACGACGGAAAAGGCGACCGAATCAACAGTAGAGTTAATTGTGGGCGCTCAAGATGATCAAAACGAATTGCAAACAACGACAGCTCCGACGAAAAAGGAAACAGGGTTCGAAAAGCATCAATCCGTCAATATCACGACTGATTTGAGGCCGACAACGGACCAATATTCCTTCGAAAACTCATCAGATATGTTGCAAAATATTGAGCATGCCACCACTGAGAATGATAGCGATTTATCAGAAAGTATTGCAATTCTAACAACCTTAGTATCAGAGCCCGAAGCTCCTGATAGAGTGAGTGACTCTACAAGCGGACTATCTCATTTCGAGTCGACAAATCGCATTTCTGAAACCACTGAATATACTACTTTACTATCAGTGAGCGATTCTTTTTCAACGAAATTCACCGATTTTGATGAAACAACGATTGAGGCGCTAGGAACTTCCAAGGAACACGAATCGTCTACTCAGATATTCGACGAATCAATAACAACTACTGATGAAATTATTGAGTCAGATGGACAGTTCTCGAATGATAAGGTTGATTCTGATACCACCCTCCAGTCAGATGTCGGGGACACATCAGTAACAGTTCACTCATTTCACGATCGCTCATGGTACAGTACCCAGAAAACTGTCTCTGCTATCGATGACACCTTAAGTACAGTATCCGAGCTTGCAAGCACTGACGGTACGTTACACCATCCCGACCCATCCATAATTCAAGAAGATCTACAATTTTCTGCACTCTCAAGTCAAGGCTCAGAGGAATCTACGCCAGTCATATCAACGCAGAAGGAAAATTTAGTGCCGGAAACATTAACACCTGAGATTGCTCCTGCGACGGAAGTTCCATCTAAAGATGAACAACAGACTACGGAGCCTTCCAGTTCGGTGACTCCAAATCGACCTGCTACCTCGCAACTTTTCGCGGAGATAACCGAGGAAGTTCCAAACTTAGAGTCTACCATCATACCGGAAGGTGTTACCGAAACAAAACTGTCCACAGATTTTACGGAAGCCCCCACCATCGCCGTTGACGCATCTGTGATTGGCAGTGACCCAACTGAAAGCACGTTCTTCACCACGCAGAAAGATGCGACGCAACTTACAACATCTCCGTCTACATTTAAACAACCTGATCATTTTACGAGTGATACAACAGTTTTCGACGAAGAAGTTTTTACCACCACTATGAACTATGAGCCTCCAATTGAAACATCAACACCTGAGATCGCTTCAGGGACGGAAATCCCATCTAAAGATGCACAACAGACGACGGAGCCTTTCAGCTCGGTGACTCCAAATCCACCTGCTACCTCGCAACTTTTCGAGGAGACAACCGACGAAGTTCCAAACTTAGAGTCTACCATCCGACCGGAAGTTTACACCGATACCGATAAGGACACCTCTTTGAGTGAATACCTCGGACTTCTAAGTCTTCTGGATGAGGATCAAGCAATGATTGCGGTGCTGAATGCCTCGTATTTAGCCGACCAACCAGAAGGACCAGTAGTCTCGGAGAATGTGCAGTCTGAGACAACCATCGCTCCCCAAGAAACCACGACTGAATCATCCTTGAGCCCGGACGACTTAATTACTTCAACGATGAGTCCCATGACAGCGGCGCCCGCCGAAACCGCGGACGAGGGAGCGACCCCGGGTTTATTTTTAGGAAACCAAGTCACTGAAGAGGAATCCACCGTCCTTCCTCCAGCGAACACGCAGCCCCCTGTCGGTGACCACACGACGACGCAAACTGAGATCTCTTTCACCGACCCGGAGGAGGAGGAAATTGAGGATCCTTTTGACTGTGAGACCGAACCATGTCAGCAAGAGACAACCCCCGGCGCGAGTATATCATCTACGACCCCTAAAAATAAAACGACAAGATTAGAGGGAGACGCTGCGACGACTAAAGACGATAAAATCGTTTTTCAAGAGATTGACTACCCCACGATTTCAGCCAAGGTCGACGATTTAGCTGGAACCACATCGACGGAGGAGACTAGCCGGAGGGCGCCGAGTAGTTATTTGGTCAACGAACTTGACGTTGAGAATTTTCCGGTGGTTCAAGATCTACGGGCCCTGCCGGAGGCCTCGAAAAAGAAGGCTGAGAAATTGTTGGATTTGCTGTCTGGTGAACTTTTCATCGAGGGTGCGGACTGGGAAGATAACGAGAACTCTGAGGAGAACTATGAGGTCGACGGGTCCGGTATGAAAATTATCAAGAGCGGGCAGAGAAAAGGTAAATGGATCGAGAATTTATCCAACGATCAGCTGATGGCGTTGATAGAATCAGTAAGAGAGAAGCATGGTAAAAGTTGAATTTATTTTTATTGAATTTCACATTTTAATGTCCTTTTACAAGTTTTATTGTTCGCTCTATTTTAATATGTTTAATTCTTTAGATCTATCTTAAAGGATCGATTTATTGAGTTCCGGAACAGGATTGATAAATTTTAGATATTGTGAGTGAGGCCCTGTAAAATTTTTTTTCAACTGAATTCTTTTAAAATCCTTAACGGAAAATTTTTTATAGACATTCAGGGAGTTTTAGAAAAGCTCATGACATATGGATTCTATATTTTAAATGTACCTATCTGGCTGATGTTTTTAGTAAAATATTCATTTTGCAATTCCGGAACTTCAAATCTGTATTTTGACAAAATCCGACGTCTTGTTAAAAAAATACTCATCCGATCTCGTAGTTTTTGAACATTTTTAAAAATTGGTGATTATAATTGGATGGAACTCATAGAATGAATAAAAAAAGAAAATTGCATTTTTCTATCTTAAGATTCGAGAGAAGCAAATATTTGCTCTAAAGTAGCGACAATGTGTAAAATTAGTGCTATTGAAATAACTCATTTGTCTCAGTGAGAATACTGTTTTAATCTCCTTCGTAATTTTGATCAATAATCAACCGAAATGGAAAAATGACACTTTTTTCCTTAAACCTTCAGTAACTAGATAAAAATGATGTAAAAGTTTACTGAAAAATAAATTTCGGAAAAAAAAACATTACCACAAAAGTGAGGTTACAATATATAATTTTACTAAATTTAAAGCTCTTTTGTATGTGTTCTAAATGAAGGGAATTTTTCATCAAACTTCAGTCCTCGCTTATCTCTACATTTATGGTAAGTTTTATAAATTTTCAGAATTTTGTTATTTATAATGATACAACGATAGTATTTATACATAACTCCAAACGTGTGCTATTTTTTTCAAAATATCTATACAAATGACGATTTATTAAAGATTTTTATACATTCATTTGATTTGCATTCTTCTTGTATTGTTCACTCTATAGCCATCTGAACTTTTAACCAAAACTCTTGAATCGTCAATTTTAGCTCTGCCGTTGGCGTATAACTGGGTGATTATTCTTGAAATTTTTTGTGACCACTTGAACAGATATTTGGTAACGTACGGCTTTAAAGCCAATGATTTTTCTTAGTCTGATTTAGAAAAAAATATTATCAAATCAAATAAAAAGAAATAATGTAAAATAAAAACAAATGAATAAAGCACGATTGAAGTCTTAAAAAGTGCAAGGTACTCATTTTTCAACTTTAGCCATCCAAATGTTAGTTTCAGGACTTTAATTACTCTAATTTTGAGAGAAAAATCATCTGTATTATGGTGCTTAAAATTTTAACGAGGAGGACCGTACTAAGTTCTCACCGTCAAAGCTATACATAATTTCATGTAAGACATTTGTTTCCATGCATGAGTTCAGTTAGAAATACCATTCTTAAGTAGCATGAAAATATTGCTTTTCCTAAAAGTAACTCTCGAGTTTAGTCTGAAAATTGGTTTAAAAGAATCATTTGCATGTAAGTTCCACGAAACTTAAGGTAACTGAGCCAACCAGAATTAAAGATCTTCCAGCCCTGGTAAAAATTGGCAGTAGAATCTGTGTTCCAAAATACCATAGACCTACAGCCGGCTGTAAGATTTCCAATAGCTTCTATAGCCGGCTACACAATTTCTTATAGCCTTTTATAACCGATGGTGACTAAGCAACAGCCAGGCGATAAAGTGTATGCGAAACGTTACGGATGCTAGGACTTAGTGAGTTTTTGGACTACTACTCTCTAGTATCTTGATTTATTTTGCGAGACAAGCTCCGTACTTTTGATGGATGCCTGCCATTCCTAATGTATTAGAGCGCCTTCAATTTCGTATGATACTGTGCAATATCTCTGGCGTGAAATAGTTGCTTCAAGCGCCGTGGCACGCTGCAAACGCGCATTGGCGCCTACAAACCTAACAGGGATACTTCACGCGTTGCGCAATGCGTGAAGTATCCCTGTTAGGTTTGTAGGCGCCAGTGCGTCGCCGCTCCGCTTTGGGTTAGGCTCTAATATTTAATCTGGCGGAATCAGCGTAATTCAACTCATGATTTCGAAATGTTTGCATATCCTGTATGGATTATTCTCATTTTAATTGATGAAAAAAAATATATGTATTAAAAGAAAATATAACGTGCGTTTTGTAAATATTAAGGTGGTTCCGTGTCAAACTTAATGATTTCCAAAGCACACGAATCTCTACACAATTTCTTATAGCCTTTTATAATCGATGGCAAAAAAGCAACGGCCAGGCGATGAAGTGTAAAGCCCGGTGATAGGATATAACTATAGCCCGGCTGCATAATTTTTTATCGCTTCGTATAGCCCGGCCGTATGATTTTCTCCGCATTCTACAGCCAGCTATATGATTTTCTGTAGCCTTCTTTAGCCGGCTATAAAAATTCCTATGGTATTTTGAAACGCAGCTCTTATCGCCAATTTTTACCAGGGAGTGGCCATCATTGCCCTACAAAGGTGCTTCTAGACATCCTGCAGATTCCCATTTCTCCGTGAACAGTGTTCGAAACTGCCCCTACAATTGCCGCCTCTCGCCCTCCTCCCCCCTCAAAAATCCTAATGTTTCTGTTTGGTGATTATTCGACATTTCCTCCAAATCGCAGCTACTATTTCTGTAACTATAACATTTTGCGTCTAACTTTTCACTAAATGCGCCGTGATACATAGGCCACAAGTCAATTTGGCCCCTAAAAAATCTTTAATTGCCCCTAAAATCGAGCTTGATGCACCACATGGCTCCTGGAACTCATAGGTGAGTTTTGAGCACTGTTCGTGACGGCGTACCTGCCATAAAACCGTAAACACGACAAATGAAATTTAACAGCGGGCCCCGTTACTCAAGCGCGGAGCTTCGTTGCAGCTCTCCCGAAAGTGGGTGCCCAAGGTTGCAGTGGCAGAGATGCTAGGTGAAAAAAGGGTTCACAATGAATGAAGAACTAGAACCCACAGTACGGGAGCGGAGTATTTATAGCGAAACCGAGTGCAGGGTTGGTTCAGCGACACGTCCCGACGTCGGCGTTGCCGGATCCGTGACGAACGTCGCCGGACGTGTTCTGCCGTGCTAAGGAAGAACGCCGTATGCACATTCGAGAGTTGCCAAATTTCCTTCGATAAAACGTTCATTTTTGGTAGAGTTCCTTTATACTGAGAGTCAAGACAATTTGAATCCATTTCTGATTGGTTTCCGTATTTTAGGCCTCCACAGTGTCACAAACGGGAATAAAGATTACATTTTCACCAATTGCAAAGATTATAATCTGGAATGGACCAGGGAATTACGGGTTCGGCAAGGAACAAACGGAATGAGAGGAGGAACGGAGAAAGGCATTTGAGAATGGGCCGACCAAAGATTACGAAAAACGTTCAATTTCTGTAATCTTTATTCCCGTTTGTGACGTCCATGAGCCGAATTGTCTTGACTCTCAGTATAAAGGGACTCTAATTTTTGGGAAAAATGATGAATACTTTTCCTTGAACTTTTCAGACATTTTAGATCTAATTACAAACAAAATTATCTGAGAAATGGAGATGTTGCATGTGTGAGGAATTTGCGATTTGACTGTTGATTCTTATGTAAAAGTTCGCTAGAAAGACGATGGTGCCTGGTTCTCTCTGAAATCATCTCCCAAGCTCAAAAAAAGCTCTCAAGTCAAGGCCAAAATGGAGGGGATATCCCTCGCTATCTTGAGAGTCCACATCTACATCAAGACAAATTCTCCATGCAAATATAGAGAGCAAATACATTAGCAGGGATGCCGTGTTCTCAGTTTTAGAGTCCCCAAATAAAGTGGCAGCCCTGTCAATGTATTTGCTCCCTATCATCTTTGCATGGAGAGTTGGTCTTGATGTAAAGGTGGACTCTCAGGATAGCATGGGATATCCCCTCCATTTTGGCCTCAAGTTGAAAGCTTTTTTTGAGCTTGGTAGTTGGTTTCAAAGAAAACCAGTGGCACCATCGTGTTTCTCGCGAACTTTTACCTAAGAATCAACAGTCAAATCGCAAATTCCTCACACATGCAACATCTCCATTATGAATATTTTTCCTTGAAATGTTCAGACATTTTAAATCTAATTACAAACAAACTTATCTGAGAAATTGGTAGACAAACATTCAAAACGTTCTCTGAAAATTAGTGATTTGCCAGGGGAAGTTTGGCAACGTCTGAAGGCTCATACGGCGTTCTTCCTTAGGACGGCAGTGTTGTGCGCGTGGCCGGAGATCCGGGCGCATTCCACGTGCGGCGACAACGAAGCCGCTGCGACTGTCTCTGCACTATCGAGACGACAGAAGCACGTGTAAGACAGTTTCGTCCTCTCCATCTCGAGTGCGACGGGGTTATTTTTACAACCCACTTCGTTCGCGGACTATTTCCATACGGCTACGGAAAATACTATCGCAGTCGTCAGACCGTATGCGCAGTAAGCCCTAAGTTCTTGCATGCAGCCGGGATTCAGTGGCGTGGCGTGCTTTGCGATATACTGATTGTTATGCCACTTAAACCCATGGAAAAGGATCGATAAACTGAGTGTTGGCAGCGAACACCTCAATAATCGATTCTTTACCATAGGTTTAAATGGCATAGCAATCGATAAATCGCAATTCTCGCCACGCCACTGCCGGGATTCTTGATTTTATCATCTTGGACATTGTTATTAAGGTTTGGATACACGATCGAATTCCGAACCAATTCTGATCAAAATGGACCAGTTGATGACTGATGCCATGCAACAGTCCTCTTTTGACGGTCCGTCCAATTTTGATCAGAATGGAGTGCCACCAATAATCATTCCCTGCCGCATGAACATTTCTGCCAAGTTTCCATCTTAAAACTAAGCAAAGTAATGATTTTAACACTGATGACTCCCGCCACGTTGATGGTAATTGGTTCGGGATTTGGATCGTGTATCGAGGCCTTTAGGGACTAGATATGGGGCTTTTGGTTAGAAACTCGTCTCAAGCGTGGAGGGTCCATTCATGACCCCTAAAGAGGTAACTTCCACCCAGTAAAACGATAATCATGCTTTGTTACCGACCGATAGCACTCAAAAAGCACAGATTGCAATTAAGTGCAGTAGGGCTTTGGGTACAAAAAGGGAATTTCTTGGTTGCGGTGTTCTGAAATCTCCACTGCTAATTTACATTTTAGAGAGGAAACTATTGGGTGGACCTCCTGAAATTTCACGGTTTCAGCTTTGTAACATCATAAAGAAAGTTTAGTATAAGTTCCGACGAATTCCATGTATTTGCTTTAATTATAATGGATGAAACGTCAGTGGAAATTCTAAGATACCGAAACCAAGAAATGAACTCTGTACCCAGGGCCGGATTTACCTACTTGCCGCCCATGGGCCGCCTATATTTTGCCGCCCCCTTCTCATTCGGTTTGAAACATCAGTAAAAACATAAAGTGAACGTACCGGAGGGGTTGCATAAGACGCGTTTATTCGTATTGGACACATGTTTTGCGAAAGCCCTGTCGACATTACTAAGCAAAATTTCACGGAATTTTGCGCGAAATTTAAGTTCTGTAATCTTATCTTAGTGTAGACAAGGCCATCTATTTATAAAAATTATGAAAGAACAAACCTAAATGCGGTTTGATAATTTTAACTTCCGCCGCCGCGCCGCGCTGACCGCACTGTTTGGCGCAATGCGTGAAGTATTCATGAAGTCTTGTAGGCGCTGAGGGTTCGAGCCGAATGATGCTGAACGCACTATGTTTGACGGCGCAATGCGTGAAGTATTCATGCAGTCTTGTAGGCGCTGATATGTGTTACATGCCGATCACCGCGCCGAGGGCTTTTCCTTTTCATCTCAAGTCCGCGACATCATTGCTCTCTGCGTCGCGCCGCTCCAGGCCAAGGTGCGTGTTTGGTTTCTCCCTTAACTCGACTAATTAA